GTGATAACATCTAATGAAAAACAAAACAGGATGCCCTCCCCCCTTATGGAGCTACTTTTACCGGTTCCCCTCCAAACTTTGTCTAGTTTGGGGATCCGCATCTGATCTAGATATACACATATATACGTCTAACCATGTGACAACTTTATGACAGACATTCTCCATCGGATAACACGTGGTTCACCATAATATATATATATAATTCGTCTCAAATTTAGTCCAACAATGTAATTGTTCTTCCCTAAGCGGGATTCGACCCCTTGCTTCTGTGACATCGTGGCAACACCGCCTACACTTGTCCAGCGCCCTAGACCTCTCGACTACTAGGCTATATGAAAATATAGCTTTCCGATGAAGAATGTCTGTCATACAGTCCCATATTTAGACGTATATAATGAAATTAAAATTTGATGTGACGGCATGGTAAGTATCATTATCATCATTTACGACAGAAAGACAAAATAGCTGATCTGAAAGTTACACCATCTACTTGCCACTATACCTCATGTACTGTGTTACAAAACTAGATAAAGCCGGCAAGAAGATAGCACTACTCGATCAACGAAAGCTATATTTTTAGCCTAGTTGCTCGAGTGGTCTTGGATGCTGGACACAGTGCAGGCGGTGTTGCCACGATGTCACAGAAGCAAGAGTCCGAATCCCGCTGAGGGAGGAACAAAAATTTGCTAACCGTTCAATTTGCATATATTTTCCATGTTGTGTTTTGTGTACTGTTGTTTGTCTGTTTCTTTGGTATCCAGTTTCGCCGCTCTTATACTGCCATATATATATATTATACTTGTATATATGTATATATATATATATATATATATGCAAGTCTAAATTGAAAACAACGTTCAAACCTATGATTGCGTTGGATAAAAACCGCAATTTTTATACGTGTGCGTGCAAAACAAATTTCTTGGTAGAGTGGTCTTAATACAGCACAAACAACATTTTCCAAAAGACCAAAAAGAGTGAAAAAGTATATTTTAACAAAACGCATTTGACTAGCAGGTCGAACAACGGATGTTCTTAAACCTTGCTGACTGCCATGGCGATTGCCAAAAAAACGGATCACCAGATGTAAAAATGGATCTTAATTTATTAATTAAATACCAAACAGAAAACAATAAACTTGCGGAAAAGATGGTATACCGCAAACATGAGGTGCAAAAATTTGTACACCATATCCGGATTTCGACAATTAATGTCTCTTCAGTGATGTTAGGAATCGAAACGGTATTTGTAAGGCCATATAATTTACCTCAATTTGGGATTGACTCTTAAATTTTGAAGAGTCAAAATAGGATGAACGGATCATATAAACCCGAAGGCAAATATAATACAAGCCCAAACGAAAAAATATAAACAAGTCTAAATTGAAAACAGCGTTCAAACCTATGATTGCGTTGGATAAAAACCGCAATTTTTATACGTGTGCGTGCAAAAAAAATTTCTTGGTAGAGTGGTCTAAATACAGCACAAACAACATTTTCCAAAAGACCAAAAAGAGTGAAAAAGTATATTTTAACAAAACGCATTTGACTAGCAGGTCGAACAACGGATGTTCTTAAACCTTGCTGACTGCCATGGCGATTGCCAAAAAAAACGGATCACCAGATGTAAAAATGGAAACTTGCGGAAAAGATGGAAACGCAAACATGAGGTGCAAAAATTTGTACACCATATCCGGATTTCGACAATTAATGTCTCTTCAGTGATGTTAGGAATCGAAACGGTATTTGGAAGGCCATATAATTTACCTCAATTTAGGATAGACTCTTAAATTTTGAAAGAGTCAATATATATATATTAAACGTCTAGATATCAGTCAACGATCTTTCTTACGATGGCGCTGGATCGTTATGCATGAGTAACGATATTTTACACAATTAATAAACTATATATACGCCTAAAAATACGCAGCCTATGTTGTAATTTCTTAACCTTCGTCAACTTTGAAATTTTAGAATTATACCAGTTCAAATCGAACCATGCTATTCAGTGTGGATTTATATTTCTGTTGTAATAACTTAACTTTCGTCGCCTGTGAAATTTTTAAATTGTACCAGCACATAATGCACATTACTTTTCTATTTGGATGCACATCTATGCAGTCTATGTTGTAAATACTCATAACCTGCGTCAACTTTGAAAATTTGAACTTGGAATTATACAAGCGTGGTTCGGTTTTTAATTTGAATAACTTTATAAAGATTGTTTTAGTTAAATCAGAATACTAGTAGATTGATATGATTCAATTTACATCATCATAATCGTACTGATGAAAGATATCTGTTATCCGAAATATTACAGATATATTTATTGTTTTCTATTTCTTTTTAATATTGGTGTTATTTTGTACACATTTATATAACACCATTATGATGAATACACTCGCGAAAATATTTAAAATAATAAAATCTTTCAGCAGTAAAAGGACCTAAAAGTTCTTTGATTACAAAATTAAATGATTATATGTATGCACAAACAATATACATGTAATTATAAAAAGACTTATTAACATTCAGGAATTCGATTTTCTACTGCCTAAGTTATCAAGACTAGCTAATAGGGCATAACGTCTATTATGCAAATGATAAAGTAACTGTCTACATAAGGGTCTAAAATATTACAAGTGTCCACAAAAGCATTTCTGTGTATGTATATGGTCACATAATAGAGCGGGTTGATGAATATTAACTGGTAGGGGTGTAATGTCTTTTGTTAGAGTTTGACTTCCCATTCTTATAATTTTTGATAGCAGTGGTTGTCTTACTGCTTCTAATTTTTCGCATAAAAAATAAAGTGTTCAATTGATTCATCTGCTTTGTTACACAATTTACAACTTCAACTGGCGTATATCTTTGGAATGAAGCTTTATGGGCTTGTAGGATACAGTTCCCAGTTGCAAATTTGAGACGTACTGGAATTTTTCTGATATCTGTTAGGTTTGCACTGACCAAAATTGCTAAATGATGTACAGATCTAATGTTATGTTTGTGGTCCATAAATTTGACGGTTGAATTACCTTTGGAGTCATCAATAATTTTTAATTTCTAATATGTATAAAAGAGAGGCGAAAGATGACAAAGGGACATTCAAACTCATAAGTCAAAAATAAAATGACAACGCCTTCGCTAAAACAGAAAAAGACCAACAGACAAACAATAGTACACAAAACACAACATAGAAAACTAAAGACTGAGCAACACGAACCCCACCAAAAACTCGGGGTGATCTCAGGTGCTCCAGAAGGGTAGGCAGATCCTGCTCCACATGTGGCACCCGTCGTGTTGCTCATATTAGTACAAACCCGGTAATAAGTCTAATTCGGTAGGTCACATTCGGGGGAAAAGAAGGGGGGCGGGATTGTAATTACGACAATTGGAACATATCCGCTGGCATGTGTGAAACGGATATTCCATAACGGTCAACCAACTCGTGATGGCGTCCGTAAAATTTACGAAGGGATGATTTCAACTTCACCACTTGGAACTCTTAATTGGTTTAATAGCTTCATTGTGAGCAGCAACCCTCTATCAAGGAAATCATGATACGAAATACAAGTCCTGGAATATCGTTTCAACTGGGAGATATATACTCCGTATGCAGACGCTGCAATGTTTCTACATAGAAATGGTAAGTTCACAATGGGGAGCTGAAATCATCTATTTTGTCGTAAAGTTTTGTTTTCAACCGACCCTCATTGTCAATTTCTAGATGTAGGTCAAGATATTAGGCAGACTGAATTGTATCTGTTGTATCCTTTATCTCAAGTTCGATGGGATAGTCCAGGGGCGGATCCAGCCATTTTTAAAAGGGGGTTCCAAACCCAGGATAAAGGGGGGTTCCAACTTTATGTCCCCATTCAAATGCATTGATCGTCAAGAAAAAAAAGGGGGGGGGGGGGTTCCAACCCCCGGAACCCCCTCTGGATCCGCCACTGTAGTCGCCAAATTTTGAATTATTTAGTGCGAGAACATCATCTATGTAGCGGGAAGTAAAGTTAAAGGCTAACTTCTTTTCTTTCTTCCCAAGAAATTTTGGATTTAACTTACTTTTTCCATTGAAATTTTAAAATAGGATTGTTCAAATAATCATATAAGTCGGTAATGGCATATTTTAAGCAAATTCCTTAATTTCAATAAACCAACTATGACTGTTGTGATATTTTATCTGTACATGTAGTTGTCGTTCAGCTTGCCGCCATTCACATTGATTTTTTGCGCTTAGATCTTGTTATATTTCCAACTAGACTGATAGCATGTAGCATTATATGGGTAACTCTGAGGTTGCGGATTCGAATAGTCTACGCCTTGGTGTTTGGATAAGCTGGTTGGTCTTCTATAGCTAGTCGTGGACTGTTTTTGTTGGTGGTTGTTTGTGTCTAATACTCTAACAACAGCAATCTACTGAGTTTTTGGTCGACTTTATTCAGAACGTGTTTTGTAACTCTTTCGTGTATTCGCTTTAATAAGCAAATGTAAATGGTTGTCTGTTCTCTTGGCATCTTTGTGTGTTTAATTATTCAAAGGATTGTCTAGTTTTAGATTCAAGGTTTTAGCTTGTTCTTTTGTATTCTTACTATACAAATCCTTGCTTCAATAGGTTTACATCATTGGTATGACCAGGATCGTCCAGTACTGGACCAGCTTTAAACGTTTATTTGTCTTTTACATCTATTCCCTTTTCACTTCTCCCAGACATGTCCAAAGCTAATAAGATTTAAAAAATCTTTTAGTTTATCAAATATACTATTTTTAAGTAAAACATTGTCTTTATAAGACCAATATATCAAATTTTTATCTTTTGCCTTTAATAGATATAACCAGTAACTAATAGACTTGAATGCAGTCAGAGAGTAAAGACCCAATTCACCTAGGACAGCAATATTTGTTGCTGACTTGTACACACCTAAAATATATCTTTTATGTAACCAGTTCGGGATCAATATAGTAGGTCTTATAATGTTCTGAAAGAAGGAAGTTAAAAATTCTATTTACAACATGACAACACTGTGACAGATTTTGTTCTTCCGAGTTTCGACTCACTTTTACTGTTTGATATTATTTTGAAATGAAGTCAAAACATTCATTTGCCTATTTTCTGTTATGTTTAAATGTATTTTTACTAGATGTGGTTTGTTTACACATAAAAGGGACGTGGAACACAAGTACTCAATATTACAGATTCCTTTCCAAGTTCGGCATTCAGAAAACGGACAATAAAGATAAAGCTAACAGTGAAGGATTTATTTATGGAAATATTACAACGAAAAACATATCTTTAGTAAAGCATTCACTGACGTTTGTGTTTGTAGATAGTGAATATTTTTTAGAATACCATGGAAACAGAACTTCTAACTCGCCAAATGCATGTAATGCGATGTTTAACAAAATTGATCAGATAGCATATGATAATCCTTGCAGACAAAATGGTAAAGAGGATTTTTTAAGACGAATACCTTGTCCAAAGGGACTACTTTGTCCAGATGAAGATGAACCGAAAAATCTTATCCCTGGTTACCAGTTCACCTATAGAGTTCAAGATTTGAAAAATCCTCGGTAATTAAATTCAATAAAATCAATTGATCATTATTCACATTTTACAGCTGATTCCTGTTGTAAATCTTTTCCATAGTTGCTGAATCCGACTCTTTTGACTAATCCCTTTTATGGCTTTTGATATTCTGTGTCCGGACCGATTTTCTGATTTGGCAGTCCTCAGAATCCCTTAATTATCAAGCCCTATTTTAAAGTCTATTCTGGAATATTTTTGCCAACTACATGTACCTCACCTTGATTCAGTGCCTTTTCTGTACACTTGAAACAGGTAAGAATTAAATTGAAGACAAATTACATGTAGCCTTTTAGAATCAGTTAAAAGTTTGAAATATTTATAGATCCATTTTGTCAAACTTACGATTTTGTTGTTTCGTTGATGGCCTCATTATTTTGTCTCTGACCTGTGATGTTTTTCTGATTTGAATACGAAAAACTGAATGAAAATATTGTAAAGGACAAATCCTATTTACTGCATAGTGCTTGTCAACATGGTCATTGGCACAGTCAAATCTGTTTGTTGAAAAGCTGGAAAAGTTCTGTGCTTTACAGTACTGATCACATGACAAAAAGTTGAAATGTTAACAAAATGGCATATTTTTTTTTAAATTTTGTGACAAAATGGATCTTTAACTAACTCTAAAGGTAAGGTTTTTCAAAATTTTACGTAATTCTGCAAGGCTAATCAAATCTTTAGTTTTTATATGCCCGTTTACGGGACATATTATGGTATACCTCTGTTCATCTGTCCGTTGTCAACATGTTGGACATTAACTCAAAAATGCTTTAACCAATTTGCATAAATCTTTGGTGAATTGTTTATATCTATTGACGTGAGCTCCCTTTCGTTTTTTATGAAATTTAGATTTTACATTTATGAGTTATGGGGTTTTATTCATTGAAAAGGGGGGATTTTCCAGTTTTCGGACAATAAGTCAAGAATGCTTTCACCAACTTGCAAGAAATTGTGGTGATTTGTTTATATCTATTGACATGAGCTCCCTTTTGATTTTTATAAATTTTAGATTTTACGTTTCCAAGTTACAGGGTTTAATTCATAAAAAAAGGGGGGATTTTCCAGTTTTCGGACAAAAACTAAAAAATGCTTTCAGCAATTCTTATGAAACTTTGGTGAATTGTTTGTATGTATTGATGTAAGCTCCCTTTAGAATTTTATAAATTTTACATTTTACATTTCTGAGTTATGGGGTTTTATTCATTAAAAAAAGGGGTGATTTTTCAGTTTTTGGACAATAACTCAAAATTGCTGTCACCAATTCTCATGAAACTTTGGTGAATTGTTTATATCTATTGATGTAAGCTCCTTTTTTATTTTCATAAATTTCTAATATGACATTGAGAATTAATTGAACTTTATTTGTTTATAGTCTGACAACAGATTTACTAAGTATTGCACAACAGCAAGAAATCTTTAATTGAATATAAATTCAATTCATATAACCAATTTCAAGTTCTTTGACTACATTTATTCAGAAACCTATAATATGTCAAATATTTAATTACAATCCAAATTCAGACCTGAATCAAGCTTGAATATTGTGTCTATTTTTGCCCCAACTGTTCAGGCTTGGACCTCTGCAGGCGTATCTAGCTGCGCTCAGCGAAGCAGTTTATTACATCTACCTGGCATCTACATGCATTGTAAAAGTCAATTTTAACTACTTCAAATGAAGCTTTTTTATTTCGCTTGACAAAATAAAGTTATTTCAGGATTGGAAAATGTCATGGTACATTTGTAAGACAAGGCTTTTTTCTATTATCTGTACCACTAAGCTGCCAACGTTCCTGATTTTTCAGGGGCCATGAGAGATCTAAAATTAATTTTTGAAACCTTCATAATATGAACTGAATTTTCTGAATACCTCAAGTTCAAAACAGGCATTAATTAAAAGTAGCAAGTATACATGTTTTTTCATGTATTTATAATAAAAATTTAGTGCAGACTACAATGTATAATGACAGTTCATAGGCAGCAAACCAACCATGAAAATTTTTAACAATGATTCAGGGTAAGAAATTTCCATCGTTGTTCTAATGGACAATTTAAAATATTCCCATTGTGCATGTATTTGGTCAATTTTCAAAATGATTTTCTCTGGAAGAAGAAAGAAGAATTATTCTAAAATATTCACAACCCAATCTTCACTAGCCAAGGGTTATGATCCAGTTTTTGTTCCATTTTACATGTTTTAAAGAGTTTACTTAAATTTCAAAATGACATAAGTACATGTAGTCTCCCTTGTATTTGTTAACATCTTACTAATGTACATGTAATCATCAATCAATTGTTTTATAACACTTGTGTATAAAAGTCAAATTACCTGAAGATCTGTGAAAATAGAAAAAGCACTAGTAAATGTGATGAATTGAAACCGTTTTTATCTTTATAAAAATTTTCTTCTATGCATGTACATGTATGTTGTTTATATATAGTCTATATATGTACATGCTATACAGGGTTGGCAAAGTATTACCCAGGTGGGAAATCCAGTGCTGTGCAATATCCCCAGAAATGGGTTATGTTGGACAATATGATTTAAGCAGCTTATTTTACATGTACATGAACAATATACACTTAATAGTTAAGACATTTGTAGTTTCATTGCATCATTGCAAAGTATATATGTAAATACAGGCAAGCATTGAGAGTTATTTTCAGAGATAAAAAATTCAATTTCTTTCTTTTCTCAATAATTTTATTGAAGATATGTCCAGAAAACATGTTTTGCACATTTTTGGATACCTTGTTTATTTTTTAGCTTTGTTTACCATGTTTACAATATAAATCAGTTGAAAAAGGTTTGACTCATCATCTACATGTATTAAAAAAAAAAGCATACAAACAAAACTAACAAAAAGGCGTAAGACACAAATTACTGATCTGAGACTACTTAATTACTGAAAGCTACAAGGTAGTTCAAAGCCAATGACAACTTATAACAAAAAATCATGTATGGGATCCAAGACTAAATAATTAATCAGTACACATCCAGTAGATTTTGTGTAAAGATATCATAAACAGTCATAGTGTGTCTTTCTATATTGTGATGTTACACTATTGTTTCAGATAAGGGTGAAGGTTTGGTACCATTAAAACGTTTAAACCCGCTGCAATTGTTTGCACCTGTCCTAAGTCAGGAATCTGATGTTCAGTAGTTGTCGTTTGTTGATGTGGTTCATAAGTGTTTCTCGTTTCTCGTTTTTTATATAGATTAGACTGTTGGTTTTCCCGCTTGAATGGTTTTACACTAGTAATTTTTGGGGCCCTTTATAGCTTGCTGTTCGGTGTGAGCCAAGGATCCGTGTTGAAGACTGTACTTTGACCTATAATGGTTTACTTTTATAATTTTTGACTTGGATGGAGAGTTGTCTCATTGGCACTCATACCACATCTTCTTATATCTAAGTAAAACATGATCTTGTGCAATGCCAAAATGTAAGTACAAATGTACATGTACATGTATTGACAAAATGTGGGACCATAAATGTTCATAACTGTATGGCAATAATATTTAGTTATGTTTTAATTTATTGATAATTAAATCAATGTACTGGTAAAATGTTTTAATTTATTGATAATTAAATCAATGTACTGGTAAAACAATATCCAAAGATCTCATTACAGAGTTAAATTGATGACCCTTTAGAACAAGTTACTCTAAGGATCGATAAGTTTACACTGATATTATCTACATGGAATTTAGATTAGTCTTTACTCAATTTTAGTCATATACTGGGAATCACAACTCAGGAACAATTCTGCTAATTAAGGGGTGCAATTGGTACCCATAAAAATACCTAAAATTGTCATTTAAATAATAATTTTAACCTGTCAGTCATTGAAAGCACTGTTATGTAAATTTTATTTTCATAACACACAAAGATTATACGAATCATTTAGAAGTCTGCTATTTTTTCCAACATAAAAGTAAATACATAGTACTGTATATTGTGTATTGGTACACATTTACATTTACATAATTCTATAACTCTAAAATCTTACTTTCAGATTCTGGTATTTAAGTATGGTAGCTTGTTATAGGAATACAACAGCCAACAATTGTTCATGGGTTCGTTCATCTCAGAATTTAGAACTTGATTATGACATTTGGCTAGTTAATGGAGATCCAGCATCAAAACATCAGAATCCATTTGAACATCAGTTTTCTTTTGAAGATCATGATATTGTGGAAAGTTATGCTGTATTCTTTGCTTTATACTTGATAATTATTCCCATATGGTTGTATGCCTATTTTAAACAGAAACACACAATCACAAAAATTTTAACAGCTAGCATTTGTCTGGAACTGATAGGAATATCATGCAACTTACTGCATTGGATGATATTTTCTGCAAATGGTGTAGGATTTTATGTGCTGAGTGTAATAGGGAATGCTATAGATGTCATATCAGAATGTTTATTTATGCTGACACTGTTACTGATAACCAAAGGATGGACAATAACAAGTATGGAATTGACTGGAAAACCAATTGTCTTTTCTATTTGGGGACTTTACACACTTTTGAATTGTGTGTTGTTTATTTGGAATTTGGTGAGTACATTTTATTTATTATTATCATGATTATGTACATGTACCATACATTGTACATGTAGTTCAAACATCTAAAATGATTTTATTGAAAACATATACATGTACTGGGTTTATGGCAATTTGAAAAACACCTGTATCAGTCAAATTACAATTCTACATCAGTGTTCCAGCTTGAATGTCAGGGCAGAAGGGTGCTAGTTGTTTGAAAGGGCACTTTAGCGCAATAACCCAGATTGTAAGGGCACTGTTGGACAGTGTATAAATTACCTTGAATATTGCTAGGCTCAGCTGGAGAACATTACTTGTATTTTAAGCATATTGAGAAATTAATGTGTTCCTGTATGTTGCCATTTAAATGTGATATCAGAATGATTATTTTCTGATAACCAAAGAATTGACAATACCAAGTTTGGAATTGACTGGAAAACTATATATATATATAGCTAATTGTCTTTTCTATTTGGAGACTTAGAGTTAAAACCAATTGCTTTTTCTATTTGGGGATTTAGAGTTAAAGACGAAACAGCCTATTGTTTATCTCATCATTTGGTAGAGCAACCCTGGATTGTTACATGTACATGACAAGCTCACCAAGAAGCTACAGATTACATGTATAGTGTCCCATTTTACGCATTAAAAGTTTCCAATGATCATGATGATGGAAAGAACATTTTTTTTCAAGAAAAACAAAGATGATGAACACAAAATATACTAATATATACATGATATATGTAAATGTAATAATTTACAGCCAAATGCAAGTACATGTTGTATTGTTTACAGGAAATTTTTACTATGACCTTGGATTCATTGCTTTGAGAAAAGACATCTCTTTTCTTGAAAACAAATTGTAAATCACCTGAAAAAAATGGTTACTTTTTCAAAAGGTCTGTGACATACCTGTTTATCATGTTTATACTGTTTTTATACGACCTTTTGCGGTCGTATATTGGTATGACGTTGGTGAAGTCGTCGTCTGAAGACACATTGGTTTTCGCACTCTAACTTTAGTTTAAGTGAATGGATCTCTATGAAATTTTACCATAAGGTTCAATACCACAAAAGGAAGATTAAGATTGATTTTGGGGGTTATGGTACCAACAGTTAAGGAATTAGGGGCCAAAAATAAGCATTTTTGTAACTTCCAGACATAAATTGTGTGTTAGTGTATGGATCTCTCTGACATTGTACCACAAGGTTTCATATCACACAGGGAATGCTGGGATTGATTTTGGGGGTAATTGCCTCAAAATTTTAGGAATTAGGGGCCAAAAAAGGGACAAAAAAACAAGCATTTTTCTAGTTTCATGACAATAACTTGTGTGTAAGTGTATGGATCTTTCTGAAATTGTACTACAAGGTTCCATACCACAAAGGGAAAGCTGGAATTGAGTTTGGGGGTAATTGCCCAAAACGTTTAGGAATAAGGGGCCAAAAATAAGCATTTTTCTAGTTTCCAGACAATAACTTGTGTTCAAGTGTATGGATCTCTCTGAAATTGTACTGCAAGGTACCATACCACAAAGTGAAGGCTGGGATTGATGATGGGGGTAATTGCCTCAATATTTTAGGAATTAGGGGCCAAAAAGGGGCAAAAACAAGCATTTTTCTAGTTTCAGGACAATAACTTGTGTGTAAGTGTATGGATCTTTCTGAAATTGTACTACAAGGTTCCATATCACAAAGGGAAAGCTGGGTTTGAGTTTGGGGGTAATTGTTCTAAATGTTTAGGAATTTGGGGCCAAAAAGGGGCCAAAAAACACATTTTTCTAGTTTCCAGACAATAACTTGTGTTCAAGTGTATGGATCTCTCTGAAACTGTACTGCAAGGTACCATACCACAAAGGGAAGGCTGGGATTGAGTTTGGGGGTGATGAATCATAAGGGGGTTCAAAAAATTTGGGGGGGGGATTTTTTTTTTTTTCCTTTTTTTTTTCTTTTAAAATTTTCCATTTTAAGTTGGTTATTTCTGATTTATATTTAAAAGCAAATAATAATGATATGGTAGGAGATACACACCAAACAGGATGTGTAAATTATTATATAATAAGTATTGTCCAATAGCAAGAAATTTTCAATTGCACAGTATTGCACAATAACAAGAAATCTTCAATTGCACAGTATTGCGCAATAGCAAGAAATCTTCAATTGCACAGTATTGCGCAATAGCAAGAAATATCCAATAGCACAATATTACGCAATAGCAAGAAATTGTCAATTGTACAGTATTGCGCAATAGCAAGAAATATTCAATTGCACAGTATTGTGCAAAAGAAGATACTTCGTATAAATTGCTTATTTCTTGACCAATTTCAATGGGGTTTTATTCTTGAATTCTTGGGGTTCTTTAATATGCTGAATCAAACAGTGTATTAAGTTTTTTGATTTTGGGCCCTGTTTTTAAATTGGTCCACATTGAGGTCCAAAGGGTCCAAAATTAAACTTTGTTTGATTTCATCAAAAATTGAATCATTGGGGTTCTTTTATATGCCGAATCTAACCGTATGTTTAGATTCTTAATTTTTGGTTCCGTTTTCAAATTGGTCTACATTAAGGTCCAAAGGGTCCAAAATTAAACTTAGTTTGATTTTAACAAAAACTGAATTCTTAGGGTTCTTTGATATGCTGAATCTAAACATGTATTTAGATTTTTGATTATGGGCCCAGTTTTCAAGTTGGTCCAAATCGGGGTCCAAAAGTAAACTTTGTTTGATTTCAACAAAAATTGAATGTATGGGGTTCTTTGTTATGCTGAATCTAACCATGTATTTAGATTTTGGATATTGGACCATAATAGGTGAATGTCCAATTTAAAATTTTTAAGTTCTTAGACCACATTTATTCTGTGTCAGAAACCTATGCTGTGTCAAATACATGTATTTAATCACAATCCAAATTCAGAGCTGTATCAAGCTTGAATGTTGTGTCCATACTTGCCCCAACTGTTCAGGGTTCGACCTCTGCGGTCGTATCAAACTGCGCCCTGCGGAGCATTTTATTCCTTATTCAATTGATAAATGGACTTTTTTTTACATTTAACAAGTAAATACAGACAGTCTGGGGGTAAAGTTTGTCACACATCAAATTCTTTTTTAAACCTTTATAGAATTTCATGAAACTATGGCAGAAGCTTTTTTATGATTAATTGATAATGACTGATGCAAATATTTGAAAAATGATTTTTGTTCATTTTCAGTATTTCAGTACAAAATGTCCAATTTATTTTGTAGACTGAAGTTGATGTGATATCAAATATAGATGAATGGCAGACATGGCCAGGTTACATCACACTGATTTTTAGATGTTTCATCATGGTATGGTTCATGGTAGAGTTGCGACAGATAGTTAAATACAGTAAACATCCAGATCGTCTCTTGTTTCTTCAACAGTTTGGTGCTTATTTCCTGGTTTGGTTCATATACTTGCCAATCTTGGCTATCATCAGTACACAGTTCTCAGCATTGTGGAAACATAAAGTCCTTCTAAGTAAGTTCTTAAATTAATTACATTGCAATTGAAAAAATATTTAGCTACATGTAGAAAAATCATTATTGTAGAAAAGCAAGTGTCTCTATATTTAGATACAGCATGTTCCATTTAGTAGTTTTAATTATTTGTAGGCCTAGAGAACGATACTGCAGCGAAAAGATGTACAATGTATCTATCAGAAAAACTCAGTTAGGCCATAAAATTTGAAGTGTGTAATACATGTACATGTATATCAGCTAAAAAGCAATTTGTTAATTCCTTAAAGGACAAATTTGAAAAAAAAGAACATTTTCCTCATAACCTGATAAACATGACAAATGGAGACTGCTGTTCTAGAATGCATTTAAATCTTTACATGTACATGTAGGTGTACTTCAGGAAATCATTGCCCATATCCTTGGACAAAGTAAAATAATAGAAAGATGCATATAAACATGATAAAATGGAAATGTTACAGGATTATCCCCTTAATTGGTACGTCCTGCTTAAAGTGAAAAAATTCATATTTTAATACTTTATATTACATGTACATCCTTTTCAAAACAATTTAATTTCTGATGTAAAAAAAAGAAAAGAAAAGCATGCCTAGTTAACAAATATCCCATTAAAATGGATATTGTTAACTCTACAAAGACAGATACATGTAGGATATAACAATAAATCAATAAATAGGTACAAGTTTTCATAATACATCACTATGTCCTGTTTTTTCTGTATATAAGTGCATTTTTGTACCTGCATAGATGTATGTGAGGGCAATATTTATTTGAAGTATATGCACAGGATATGTAATTAACAATCAGTAAAGTACATGCATCACTTAAGTTTGAAATGATGTTATCAAATTTTGTTGTAGAATTAGTAGGGAATTCCTGTGCCTATTGAGACTGATTACATTTTATTTTATAATAATAAAGAATCATTTCATTCAATGATTTTGTTTGATATTCTGCTATTCATAACATTGAGTAATTCAAAAGAAAGAAGAAATAAAAGAAATAAAATATTTTTATCCTGGCATCCATTTTCTAGTGTTGAAAAAAAAATTCCACGTATTTTAAAAAAAAATAAGTGTGGGTTATTGAAAACTATATATACATTGTACATGTATTTTTTGCTAATAATTGCTATTGATTTTAAGATATACTGTCATCAGGGGCATATTAAGGGAGAAAATTTGCTATATCTCTTTGAATTATGTAATGAATCATGACCATTTTGACAGTTTAGCTTAATAATTAACTTTAAAAATATCTCTCTCTCACAACTAGAGGTGATCTTAAAAATGTTTGTCCAGTTCTCCATCTGAACTAGGACTGTTACATGTATATGTATTTGAAATACAGAGACAAAAATTCAGTAGCTTTTATATTAAGTTTAGATTTTGTCATACTGTACACACAAATTGTTTTATTTTTGAAACATGTTTGCATGTACAAAATGTATATGTCTTCAGTCATTGTGTCAGCATTAAAAGTTTCAAAGCAGAATGTATGAAAACAAATTAAACAGTTGTGTCAACTTAATTTTTATATAAAATATATCAACATGATCAAGTAAAAAACTAAATCATGTTTGAAACATCTGGTGTTAAATATGTATTGTAAGTGCCATAAATATTTCTATGACAAGGAAAGGGTTTATCAGACTAATACATTATTGATAGATGTATTTAATGAAGTGAAGAAGTTTGATTATGGTATATATATATATATATATATATATATATATATATACTAAAGAGATGAGTAGATGATCATTTCTGTACACTTAAAATACTTTGTGTATTGCGTCTAGATGTCCTTGTTTAATTCCTACGAGAAGGTAACACCTCCCGAAACGAAAGCTGATTTTTATCAGCTATAGTTAGAGGAGGGGATAAGGCGTCTGCGCAATGCTAGGCGGTGTTGCCGTAGAAGTATGAAGTGAAAAGTACAGGTTCCAGCCCCGCTTGGGGAGGAAGTAAAGAATCAAATCTACTCTAACATTGTTAGGTTGATTTTCTAGGCACTTTATATATATATATATATATATATATATGAACTGTAATCAATAGATATAAATGCCAAACAGATTTATCAAATGTTCAAAAGGACTTTCCACATAGAATGTGACATTTATTGACTTTGTAAAATAATGGTGCATGCATGTACTTGTCATTTAAGAAATTTTTCTTTTTTTTTTGATCTTTTTCATGTTCATACAAGTATGTATACATTGTCTTAACCTAGATCTGGTTAGTCTTAAAAAAATGATACTAATGTACCAGTTAGAAAAATGCCTATTCATAGTTATAGTAAAGTCTACATTTAAATTATATAAGTAACATTAAACTTACATAATAATTTGGAGAGAAAAATGTCCCCATTTGTCATGTACCAAAAAAATCAGAGGACTGAAAGTGCATATTGATAACTTTTTTATACCATAATGCTTTCTTATAATTAGTCCTGTTTGAAGTAACTCTCTTTACTACTTCGGGTACATATATTTCTTGGTGGGGACTCACCAAAGATGATGAAACATCAATATTATAACTATCAGATCTTGCCCTTTGCTCCTTAGATTTGATTGTTGCTCATGATACATCTGAAAACATCCAATAAGGGGTCATATTCAGTTCGTCAGATAAACTGCAACATGTTTCTGAATAGATGTATTAAAACTTGTATCAAATTTGTTCGCCATTACGTAAAATCACACAGGTTCCCGTAAACTTTGACATCATAATTCAAAACATTTGACGTCACAATTAAAAAATGATTGTTGCCTGACGTCAAAAGGTGATTCGGAGTAGATCTAAGGTCATTCGGAGGCAAAATATAGCTAAATAACAAAAGTGTAAATACGTTTATAATGTCCTGAAATTCTATGATCTTACCATTTTATCTCCTGACATGGTTCATACATGTATTTTATGCACTGAACTGATTGTAATATTTCTCAACTTAGCAAAGCATTAAAGTTTCATTATTTTATTCATTTTTAGCATGTTTAGCTTATCTGACCCAAGGGGTCAAGTGAGCTATTATTATCACTTGGCCTCTGTCGTCTTTTGTCGTCTTCCATTACTTTTACAAAAATATTCTCCTCTTCTGCCAGAACAATAGTAGATAAAGAAAAATTATAAACAGCAAAAGTTATCAGCAAGACGAGATCTGCAAATAAATCAACTTAGGTGAAATTGTCACTTAACTCCTTATAGAAAGAGTTGCCCTGTAATGATGATTTTTTTTATGCCCCACCTACGATAGTAGAGGGGCATTATGTTTTTTCGGTCTGTGCGTTGTTCGTCCATCCATTCATTCGTCCGTCTGTCCCGCTTCAGGTTAAAGTTTTTGGTCAAGGTAGTTTTTGATGAAGTTGAAGTCCAATCAACTTGAAACTTAGTACACATGCTCCCTATGATATAATCTTTCTAATTTTAATGCCAAATTAGAGTTTTGTGCCCAATTTCAGGGTCCACTGAACATAGAAAATGATATAGTGCGAGTGGGGCATCAGTGTACTATGGACACATTCTTGTTTGTTAAGAAATATAAGATGAATAACACAAGATTCTGATGTTATGATACCACAATTATGTCACTATATGCACCTTTTTCATGAAAATGAAGAAGACAACTGAGTTTATGCAGTTTTCCATCTATATTTCCTTTAAGGAAACATCATGCACAGCTTTAATAGAAACAACAAAATAATTTTAGAAAAGCTTTCTTAAAAAAATATAACAAAAATACAGAACTCCAAAGAAAATTCAAAAAGGGGGGAAGTCTATAAAAACTGACAAAATCAAACGCTATCAATCAAAGGAATAAGTGAAAAGCAACTGCCATATTCCTAACTTGGTACAGACATTCTCTGAAGAAAACTAGAAAAGAAAGAAGAAAAATAACCTATCTAAATGATCTCAGCAAATAACAATAGGTTTCTCATTGTTTCTTGAGTGCATACTTACTTTTCCAATCCTAAATATATAATTGATGAAAATTAAGGAAAATCAAGAAACTAAAGTAGATATACAAATTTTGTCATGGTGTGTTGCCATGGTAACTTGCTTAATCATTTGAAATTTGTGAAAATGTAAGAACATGCATGGTAATGTTTTAATTTGCACTTATATTTGGGCTAAATAAGGAGTTATTGCCCCTACTGCTTTGTAAACAAAGTGTCAGAGGTCACTCAAAATAATTGTTTGATTAAAATATTGCATACAAGCTTAAGGTCATCTGAACATGACCCCTTATGGGATGTTTATACATGTATGTCTTACATGAGTGAAAGCATAATCTAACAGATCAGAGTAAAAGATTTTAATCGGATTGGAGAAACGTAAAAACTAGTATATTCACACAAAACATTCATAGACGAGAGAAAATTAGGACTGCATTGGTATTTATATGTGTAGTGTTATAATGTTTTTGAATTATTTTTTTATATTTATCATGTTTCATGTTATTTTTATTTCAGACATTATAAATGGTGCTGATTGTTTGTCATATATGGTACTCATACATCTGTTGTGGCATTCTAGGTCCATTTTGTATCTTATCAAAGGAGATACACCATTACCTACATATGAATTAGAAATAACAGGTATTTTAGAAGAACTGATTAGAAATTAACATTGAAAAAAATAACTAAATAATTTTAACTATTACATATGTTCATAACATATAATTATACCCCTCTAGTGAATACAATGCTGTCAGCTTATGTGATGTACCTACGACTTTGAGTCATGGTGTGTAAACTTCTAATGTGTTCAAGGTTAAATCGGGATAAATACTTTATCTTTTGAATGTTATGTACGTTTTTATGAATAATAAGTAAATTCATCAAATTGTTATAGATGACCCATTCCCTATTTTATGCAAAGTTTTGATAGTAGTCTAATTTCATGTAGCTACCCGAATTATTAATTTTCTTGATAAGCTATATCTACAAAATTGTGTGCAATTACACATATATTGATAAAATATTAAAAGACAGGAATTAATGACTCTATGTTATAAAACTGTCACTGAGAGTATTTTTTAATGGACAGAAATTGCTACTGTTCCCTTGACTGATTTTTTTGCTCAAAGACCAGGAAAACACATTTTTTCACCGATAACAGCACCAACAGTTGCTTTCCACTTTAGTTTTCACCGGAATAAATGTTATATGCAATAAAAAATTTGTGATTTTATATACCCACTGCATCACATTATCAGAGTTGTCTTATTAGCATACTTGGGTGTACAGCTGATGTCAGTAAGTACATCAGATACAACCTCACACTGGCAGCTGTTTCTAAACCAATGAATACATTTTTTTTAAAGTTTGAGAATGCCCCTTATACAAGATGACATTGTGTTCATCTTCTACTACCTACATGTATCTTCTCAACATATGTACTTTTGAAATTTCATTCAGCAAAACATTGACTTTGCAAATTCTCCAAACCGAGGCCAAGCATTACTCCTCTTCAAACTCAAAATGGAATTAAGTTTATCTTTTACAATCATCAATTATTTTTATTTGTGTACACACTACCCATACTTGTAACTTATTTTTTGTTTAAGAGTAAATAATGGGATTCCTTTAAGTAAAACAAGGACTTTACCATCTCTCCTGATGAAGGCTGGTGGTCTAAATAGTTCTTTTACAATGATCATTAACCTGTAAACACTGAGCCTGTGAGTTCAAACGCTTTTTGAAGGTATGTTCAACTCCCAATCTCAATTGACTAGAATTTTTCTGCTATTAAAAGGTTGGTGGTTCTTCAGGTACTCTTTAATTCATCCATCTCTAAAAACTGGCTGCCAGGATATAGAAAAGTGTGCTCAAGAGGTGTTAAAAAAACAAACAATAAATCCTGATGAAGGCATATATGCTGCTAATCTCAACATGCATTTCTTTGTAAACATTTGACCCTGAGTCATTGAAACTGCTGAGAATTTTCAGTTCTAGATGGCATATAGCACTTTTTTTTCTGATCAATCTAACTGATTGTTTGGGGTTTTCCTCATCAACACATGTATTTTGCCACTACTTTTATCTTGGCGTCATCTGTCATACAATGATTGTATATGGCTTAGCAATTTGCCATAAGCTTGAGTTCAAACTGTATGCCCACATCTTCTTTTTATTAGTATGTTTATAATGTTGCTATTTAAGTACATCGATTAACATTTGACAAAATAATGGTCCTTTAACTTAAAATTTTAATTTCAATAACATTTTTTTTCTCAATTTTCAGCCATCTAACCAGATATTAAGCTGATTTTTGTCTCACGTGTAACAAAAGTTGTCAACATATAGGTTCAGTCTGAGTTTAAAGTTTTTTATACCTCAATACCTTTGTCAAACCTTTATGGAATTGAATGAAACTTGAAGCTTCTTCATGATCTAGTTAACGACAGCCTCCAGAGAAAATTATGAAAATACTTTTATTTTTTATTTTTCCATTTTTTACTGATAAATGTACTTGTTGGTCAACATTTAGATTTTATAGTTAGGTCCTTTTCTCAGATGCTATGAGCATTATGAAAATTATATTTATACTTTTAATTCTGGCAAGGTGAACATGTCCATTTGGCAGAGTTCATCTGACTTTGACCTTTTACATGGTTCATTGATCAAGGTTAAGTTTTTGTAGTGTAAGGAATGAAGGTAAAGTGGCAGGGTACATCTGACCATGACCTCATTGACAGGGATCATCATTCATGTTAAGTTTATGAGATGCTTTGCAAAACATTAATACTAAAGACTTGCAACACAAATTCAGTTATGATCGGTAAAGCAAACAAACCATTTCAGCATATGCACTCTTGTCTTCTCCATTTTCAGGTTTCTTTGCTGATATTGAGTTTACACTAATTATAAATGTATAAATAAGTTACAAATCCAAAATGAGTTTCTTTCTGGTTGACTAATTTTAAAACTTTTTTACCATTAGATAAAGCAATTTTACTTCTTTCTTCTGAACAGGATTATTAGATGATCAAGAAACTACACCTGGATTTTTTAAAGGATCAAAAGCTTTAGATATAGAAATGAATCATAACACCATCCCAAATAAAGAGAAGAGAAAAGTGGGAAATGGTCATCTGAGCTTACCGTTGTTGGAAGAGGAGGATAATGATGAGTTCTGATATGTTCCTCATGTAATCTTATAAATGCTGTCATGTTTGTCTAGTCTTTTTCTAATATTTGTCTTTGCGATTTGTCAAATGGTCATATTATGTATTATACTTTTATTGGATAAGATCTTGTTGTAGATACATATATATACATATATAACATCATCATATTATTCCAGAATGATCATAGCCATTTTCATGTACATATATGTAAACTGTAGAAGTATTTTAAATGCTGGTCATTCATTAATTACACAACCTTGTAAATATTGCTATTCTTCCGACACTAGTCATTAGGTTTGATTATCATTTAAAGTACTGCCTCTCATATAAAAATCAAGAAAAAAACACCAAAATTGTCTAATAAACTTGAGTGTGTAAATTAAAGGTCATATCTCTTGATAAAATTGAAATAGAATTAGTTAACTTAAATAAAAAAATGTTCAATGCCAAATTGTTTCTGGTGAAATATTTCTTTTAAATTCATATTTACTTGTAGGTGTAATACCACCAAATCATAGTACGTCACATCCAGTTGCATACGAAAAAGTGTCGAAAAAAAATATTCCCTTGAATTTGACAGTTGTAGGAAATTAATCCTACATTTCATTACAGTAAAAAATTTCTGAGTCATAAACATATATCTTAGGTGTTTCAAAGCACCATTATTTTTTTATTTGGTGTTTCTATAGAATATTTTGGAAACTTTAGGTTACATGGTTACTAAAGCTTGTACACAGGTAAAAAAGGGGTGATAATTTGATTGGTTAACTCCCAGTGATGGTTATTTTCGTATATGCAATGAAATGTTACGTGAAATTTTGTCTATAGTACTGGACAGAATAAAACTTTACTTATGCCAAGTATTTCTTTATTTGAAACAAAGATAAATTCTGCACAATTTTTTGTAAAGTGCAAACTTAACAAAGACTAATGGGGGAAAATCAATGGTGGTATTACACCTGTATGATTGTAATTGTAAATTTATTGATGTTGTAGATTGAGAGAATAAGTATGCAAGATATAAATTCATTCATTTACCATTTATGCCCAGATTGAATTCTCTTAAAATTGAATCAATTGAGAATTGTTTGTCATATTTCTCTAAGATTGACAGTTATATTCTTGAAACTTTATAATTAAGAACACGGACAATGCAGTACATGTAGTGATATATTATTATAAATGCATAATAATTTTTTAATACCTTGTATTTTGAGCATAGATTATCAAAAATAATCAAGGTTAATTTTGAACAAATATAGAAAATTAATATTGTGTCTAAATGTGCTAAATTGATTTGATAGTTTTCCATAAAGGGTAGTAGCTTTACGTTTAGTTGTATCAAATAAAAATGTTATTATCATTATTATTATTTAGAATATATGTAGGTATTGTTAGGAATAAAATAAAGCAACCCGGTTTACACCGTTCCTTCCAATTTTGTCTGTATAGAATTCTTTTTGTATTTGTGATGCTGTTGTGATAGTTATATTTGATATCAAATTTTGCAAATGGCCAAAATGAGTGTCAATTTAGGGTAGAATTAAAGGAAGAAAAGTACATTTTTTTATGCTTTTTGAATGTTTGTATGTGAATAATATGTTATTTAATATATCTGTGATCAAATTCCTTTGAACAATTGTGTGATTTACTTTAAGTTTTGCACCCATTTTTACATCTGTTGCCAAAAATTATGATGTAGTATTTATATGTTTAATTGATTTATCTTGTACATTATATATTTTGCTTGGATGTGATTTTCTTGTTTATATTTACATATCATTACATTTTAATTAACAAATATAGGATGAACAACTATTATATTCATAAAAAATATTATACTAATCACTGTATAAATGGAATCAGCAGATTATTTTACCAATTCCAGTGTGTTTACATATCGTTTTATTTGAAGTTAGCCACTGTATACATCAATAAAAAAAATGACAATGAATCAAAAGATTTGATATGCTGTGTAGTTAGATAAATAAGTTAGAAGTCACAGAAACTGATATGTTGGTAAAATAATTCTCATAAAAACAGGGTCGGTAAGAAAACCATATAACATTTATATTTTCTTATTTTACAAAACCTCTAAAAACTAATTATATTTATTCTCAGGAAAAAAATCCCTGTGTGAACTGGGCTCCTCACCTTGAACATTGAAATTCCTTTCAGATCCTGAATATCTCTAATTTGAAGTGTGCATTTTTTAAATGTCTTTCATTGCCGTGTGTGCATAAAAATCAGATAGAGATTTTCTCTTACGTAAGGAATGAACAAAGATTCTCTTATGTCGTTTATAAGTATTAAATAATATATTCTAACTTGAATGGCTTTCAACAGACTATAGTAGCATTGAATAAAAACTTTAAAAGTTATAAGAGCACCAAATTTCTAATCATCATTAGTACTTTTACAGACGTGACATATAGTGGTATTCAAATTTAATGCAGCATGATAAATTTATTAAGAAAGACTGTTACAATGTGTGAAGTGAACAAATATGAGAATAAAGTAAATTGAATTATATGAAGTATTAACATATAAATATGATGTAATAACTGAATTTTTAATAGCGTTCTTTCAATAAATGTGAACAAAAGACTGGTAAAGAATTTCAATTTTTCAACATCTGGTGGAAAAAATCCAATGTTACATAACTATTACATCATTAGAAAGGTCTATTAAGGCAAATGTATTAAATATGAGTCTGCTTTAAACAAAACACAGTTGTATCATGCAGACAAACATAATTGTACTAAATATAGTTACTTTGTTATGTTATTTTAAATTTTAAATATCAGAAAAAAATGTATCAACAGTCATTTCAGGGAGGTAATTTTTTTTTAAATGACAAGTGTGAGCGACAGCTTCATTTAAGAGCAGTATTTACACATTACCCTGTAATATTTTTTCATCGCTTTATTTTTTCGACATCAAATATGCTGAATGACACCTCATGAAATTGCTTCTGACAAGAGTCTAATAAATTGTTCCTATACAACTTTGCCCTAAGAATCATGGTGCAACAATCACATACTTGTGTTTTTTGGTTGCTATTTCATTTACATATTTCTCAAAGTCTTCTTTAATTAATATTTAACAAAACCAAATGTAATTGTATAGCTTTGCAACAGTGAAAAGACCAGGATAAATCTTGCTTATTTACCTCTCTTAATTAGTCTGATAACAGAACTGGATAAATCTTGCCAATTTAGCCATGTTAATGAGTCAAACAAAAACTAGATAAATGTTGCTATTTCAGTTGTTTAAAAATGAGTTAGGTAACAAAAACTAGATAAATTGTTCTATTCAAGCTTTGTCCAAATCATCATACTGCAACAGTCTGTGTACCATTAAGGAATCGTACTAACTTTGATATTAAGATCACAAGCATACTGTTTTACTTATCATAGTATTTGTCAGCATATATTGTACACAGATTGTCCATATGATGTGTTTAGTTTCCAAAGTTAGTTTTTTACAAGAAATTTCATGTACCAAAGGTGTATATATTGTAAAGATTGTGCTCAAAGTTTTTTTTTAACCAAATTACATGTGCACTATGTGCATTAAGACACATCCAGTGTCCTAGTATTGTGTAGGAGCATTCTTCACTTAAGTTAAACTTTGTGATTTGAGACTTTTAATGATTGAATCAGTGAAAATATGCATTCTGTTGATAGTATATGAAAGTAACATATCGGTGTAGGCAATGGCTATATTTTTGTTTGTTAATTATTATCTATTTATTTATGAATTTAATATTATTCTTCACATATATAATTATTATTTTATAAATATTTACTTATTTCATGTGTTATTTAATTTAATTGCTATTTGTCTAGTTTTAGGGTATTGTCACATTACACTATATTGAAGCGTTTTTGTCTCGCCTTGATGGAGTTTAAAAGCGAGACATAGGTATGCTGTTTCCGGCAGCAGCGGCAGCGGCGTCAACAATGTATTAGTTTGTGATTAGGTCTAGTTTATTTTCATGGAGATTATTTGGCCCTGCCCCCTCAGTCATAGTCTATTGACTTTGAAACTTTTGCTTAGTTTACATGTATTAGTTTGTGATTAGGTCAGTTTATGGGGAACCACTAGTGGTAAGTCAAAAATATTTGGTATGCAGTGGTATAAGCATTGGCATATCTCATTTCCATGGAGATTATTTGGCTCTGCCCCCTTAGTCATGGTTCATTGACTTTAAAACTTTTGCTTAGTTTACATGTTTTAGTTTGTGATTAGGTCAGCTCAAGGGGAACCACTAGTGGTAAGTCAATGATATTTGGTATGCAGTTGTATAAGCATTGGCATATCTCATTTCCATGGAGAATATTTGGTCCTGCCCCCGCAGTCATGGTCTATTGACTTTGAAACTTTTGCTCAGTTTACATGTATTAGTTTGTGATTAGGTCAGTTCAAGGGGAACAATTAGTGGTAGGCCAATGTTAATTGGTATGCAATTGTATAAGCACTAGCACATCTCATTTCCATGGAGAATATTTGGTTCCACCCCCTCAGTCATTGTCTATTGACTTTGAAACTTTTGCTTAGTTTACATGTATTAGTTTGTGATTAGATCAGTTTAAGATGAACTGCTAATGTTAAGTCAATGATGTATTTGGTATGCAAATTTATTGGCATTTGCAAGTCTCGGTTCCATGGAGATTATATAGCCCCACTCCCTCATCATGGTTCATTGACTTTGAAACTTTTACATAAGTTACAAGTCAATGTTTGTGTTTAGGTTTGTTGAAAGGGAACGACTTATGATAAGTCTATGGTATTTGGTATGCAGTTGTATTAGCATTGGCACATCTCATTTCCGTGGAGATTGTTTTGCCATGTACCTTCAGTCATGGTTCATCGACTTTGAATATTTGCATAACTTACATGTTAAAGTATTGCTATTTTAATTTCAACATTTGCATTATCAAAAGTACAAAAAGGTGAGACATATCTCTGTGTTAACAGTTTATGTTATTATGATATTGGTTCTGCATATATCACTTATTTTCTCAATAGGACTATGAAAATATCATACTGATTCTTCACACAACTTTAATTCAAGGGGTCATATTTTTTTTTTGCTGCATCAAAACAGTTTGACAAAACTTTGACTATTTATTGCTTTATACATATTTAAATTAAGTACCAATCATTCTAACCAAAAGTTATCTAGATATTTCTCTAATTACCAGAATAGAAAGACCTACCATTTCTAACTCAGAATGAGGGTAACTTCAAAATAGGAGGGTTAGATTGGCGGGTTTTTTTGGCTATATTTCGAAATTCTTCTAAATTGCCTGATTCTTACAAAGACTGGCACTTAAATGATTAGTTCTTAATTGATAAATATCTATCTCATTATGATAAACAATGTTTGAGAGATGGTTTAATGAAATGTCTTAAAGGTCTTTTTAAAGCTGGTGTTTACAGAAATGAGATCAGTTTTTAAAAGCATAACTTATTTTGAGAATGTCTTCCCTGAATACTATCTCTTTGTCTTCAATAAGATAATCAAGATTGTAACAAAAATTTATTTTGTCATTGAATGATATATTTTCTTTTGATAGTCTTTTTGTATCTCAGAAATAACCATAAGTTTTTTTTGTATCTCAGAAATAACCATAAAACTGATAAGAATAAAGCTACCACACATTCTTTTGTTTAATTGGTTGACAACCAAGAATATAAAAGTAAATTTTATTATTAAAAATTAAAAATGCACCCATTTTTTCAGGATTAATAGTCATTTTTGAGATAGCTGATAGGAATATCAGGAACTACCTTGATGCTGTTTAATTTGCTTGTATATTTTTCTTTTTTCTTTTTATGGTGGAGGATATCTCATATCTTGTACTTGCAATATACTCAAACATGAAGATGTAAAAAAATATTTTCCAAGCTTTAAATTCGACCAGATACTAAAATATTTTAAGAATATGTTTGAAATATGATTTGATCAAATTGATACTCAAAACTGCCTTTCACAATTAAATTGTCCGTCCTTATCATTTTAAACAAAATTAAAGAACAATTAGAGCATTAAAACAAGTTATATTTTTGTATAAACTTCTTTTAGTACAGTATAAGAATAGATAGCATGAAAGCAAACCTTCAAATGTTTTAAAAATTTTTTTTTTTAATTAATTATAGATGTAAGGGTATTTGAAGGGATTTTGTTATTTATTTGGTATTTTATCTAATGTTTTTATTTGTCATAAATATGCCATTCTTAATTTGAAAACTTAACCAAGTAAAAGAAAAGCCTTTGGTATGAGGTTTATGTTGAATAAAATGTTTATCATTCATTCTTGTTCATTATCAGAGCTGAGATTAATTTTTCAGTTTGCATTTATAGGTATTCAGCAAGGCTGCAATGAATGATACTGAATTAAATTACCCCTAACTTTGATATACAGTACTGTTTATGCAATGTATTATGTAAAAAAAATTAAGTTTGGACAGGAAAGATCTTTTCAAAGAATAAATTGTACATAAGAAAAAAAAACATTTATCAGTATATACCAGTATTTTAAATAAAAAGGGTTAAATAATTTCTGATTAATCAAAAATATTGCATTAAGTTAAAGTAAACAACGAATTATTTCCTTTTAATCAATGTTTTATGTCTAGTGTATATTATTGTAGCAAAGAAAAGTAATTGATTGCCATATTTTAATTCAATTATGAATTTTTCATATTTTAAAAATATTTAACAAGTATTATTATATAAATTGGTACATGTACTTAATTTAATATTAAAATAAATATTATAAATTATTATGAATGTATACAAATCATGTTTAAATGATTGCACTGTGCTCAATGATTACATATTTTGAATGAAAATAAATGACTTTTTAATGTTGTATTTGCTTCATCATTTTATTATGCATAATTTTAAAACAGCATATTAACTGCAGATTTTGATGTGATGACTTGCATATTGTTATCGCATTTCTTAAGAAAAAATATTAGTCTTCCAAGGCAGACATGTGTGGCCTGCTGTCTGCATATAATAAAAGCAGAAATGGTGAAGTCCGTCTTTTAGTATTGGAAACCCCCAAATCCTTCAGATAAAATGTTAAGATAGCAGGTGCAGAACATTATGTCCTACAGCTTTGCAGTCTGTTGTTATCGTTATGATGATAGATGTTATTACTATACCAATTATAAAGTTCTGCTTAAGATGGCTGGCATGACCAGTCAAAATCTCTTAGGTCCTGCCTGCAATTAAAGTCATATTGGAAACCCCGAAATCCTTCAGATAAAATGTTAAGATAGCAGGTATTCAAATATATATATGAAATATAGGAATGCTTATCCTGCAGTAACAATGGTGTAAAATATTAAAGACCTGGATTCTTCATACCTTGTATACAGTTGACTTGTTACAAAGTTTCAGTCTGTCATATATCCTTTGTATCTGACCCCATATTCCTTGTTCAGCGATTGCTAAATAAAACCGTATTATTTTTGTCATGTAAATTTCTCACCTATTATGAATTATAGGATAAATATATTTAGTATATGGGATCCTTGCAAGGTCCTCCTGTTAATTAGATAGGGTTCACATGACCTTAATCTCATGTCATTAATCTGTGATCTATGTAAAGTTTTCGTCATACAGAACGTATCGGAGATACTATAAGCAGTAAGTCAACTACATTGGTGTATGGAATGATGGTACATTTCCTTCTGGCATGATTTATCTGACCATACCCTCATTTTCATGGTTCATTGGTCAATGATAACTTGTAGTTGGCCTTATTTTTATATACTATATAAAGCATTTGGTCAACTAATTTTGGTGTATGGAATGATTGCAAGGTTTATATGCCTGATTGGCAGGGTTCATCTGAGCTTCACCTTACTTTTATGGTTAATTTGGCAATGTGAAGTCTATCTCAGATACTGTAAGTAAAAAAAAAAAATTTATTTGGTGTATTGAATAATTGAATGGTGTACATGTCTAGCTGGCAGGTTCATCTGACCTTGACCTAATTTTCATGGTTTAAAGGTCATTGTTAAGCTTTCGTGGTTAGGTTTGTTTTTTTCTGACACTTTAAGCAATAGTTTATTATATTTGGTGTGTGGAATGGTTATACAGTGTACATGTCGGTCTGGCAGTATTATTTCAACTTGACCTAATTTTTATGCCTTATAGGTCAAAGGTGAGTTTTCTTGGTAATGTTTGTTTGTTTCTCAGATACTATAAGCAATAGGTTAACTATATTATTAGGTGTATCAAATGATTGTTAGTGTACATGTCTGTCTGAACTTAACCTCATTTTCATGGATCATTGATAACATTAATTTTATGTACTGTGTATTCATTTATTTTTGTGGGTACCAATTTTCATGGATACTTGATTTCGTGGTTTTGCCAAAATTTTTGATTTAAGCCTATAGGAAATAAATACTTTATTGAATATTTAATTTCGTGATTTGCATCTATCCAGGAAATCAATGAAAATTGGTTTCCAAAGACTAATGATGAATCCACAGTAATAGTTGTAGTATAAACTTTTTCTTTGAAGACTTTCAACAAAAATTCAAGTAAAGCTGGCGAGACATTTCAGCGTGTGTACTCTTGGTGTTATGGATATATATATATATATACATAGGGTTAAAAAATAGCAACAATCAACATTCAATCTATCTAGGCATGGATCAGTTTGAGAATAAACTGATGTGATTACTTAATAAAAAATGTAAATGCCAAACGAAAGTATAACAGTTACACGCTAAGGAGTGTTATAATAAATACTTATATTTAATATAGATTCACACGATATTCTGCTGGACATATCTTGAAATTCATACAATTAACGCTAGTTGCTAATTTGTGTAGCAAAATATAGTGTGAATCTATATAAAATATAACAATTATTTGTATAACACTCATTAGCAAGTTCAGGTTACATTCATTGGCAATTCATTAGATATATATTTGATTCATCTACAAAAAGGTAGTACATTTTTTGGTTGACAATTTTAATCAAAGGTTATGTTATTCTACCAAAGAATTTGAAGATACTTATTGCATAGATAGTAAGTGAGAACCATTTCAATCTGAAAATATTTAAACTTCTTTCTAATATACACCCAAAATGTGAAACCTGATAAAATATAATGCCATTTTCAATAATAGGAGACGCTGCTTCATTAACTGAAAAAAACAAAAAATGTGGATAGTGTCCACATGTGGACACAGATGATGCCCCCGCTTGCATATCATATAGTTATAAAGGGACATAACTGAAGAACGGTGAAAGTGACGCTACCCAAATTTGAACTTGATCTGAGTTTTGTGGTAATAAGCATTGTGTGTACGTCTCATAACATTTGTTGAGGATAACTTTTTTTTTTTTATCTTTTATTTGTTTTTCAATAGTCAGGATTTAATATACATGTACCCCTACACTACCACCTGACAAGGGTATCAAGGGGTTACATATAAAAAATAATTCAGTATACAATATATATCACTGACAAGTTGATTTTTATAATTATACATTTAGTATTTAAGGTTACATATAAATTTTATTTGATTATATTCTCTCGCTCTCTGACTTTCTCTCATACAATACAAATACTCTTCACTCATTTGCTTTGCTACAATATGTACATGATGTATCTTGACTTACATTTTAAAAACAAAATATTTTAAAGAAAAAAAAAACAAAAAAACAAAAAAAAAAACTCAAGGCTAAATATTTGCTCATGATATATAGATATTTTATTCTCTCACTTATATGAAACAATAATTAATTAAATATTACATGTAAAGGAGACCAAAATTTTTCACACACTTGGACTCTATTATTTTTCTTTGCAATATAATATTCAAGAAATTGGTATTTCTTTATTCTATTCTTTAACCCAACCATATTTGGTTTTGTTTCATTTAATTTACATTTGTATATATAGTTTTTTGTAATTATGACTAACAGATTCAGTAATAAACTTTCATGTTTGCAACCAAGAAACACATTCTCTTTGTTAAGAACAAAGTTTACAAAAAAAAGTTTTACTGCATTTGAAAAAGACTGCCACAATTGAAAAGTTATTGGGCATTCAAAAAAAAGGTGTTCAATGGTTTCTTCACCAAGTTTACAAAAAGTACACATCTTGGTGTCTTTTAATTTAATTTTGTATAAAAAGGTATTAGTTGCTATGATTCTATGCAAAAATTTGTATTGAAAAGTTCTTAAATAAACATCTCTACATGATTTTTTGGTTATCCTGAAATATTCTGACCATTCTGTTGTATCAATAATCAACAGTTCTTCCCATTTCGAAAACTTGACTGTTGGTAGTTCAATAACTTTATTTACTAAATTTTTATATACAAATTTGGCTTTCACATTACCTATAATTCTCTTTAAAAAAATATCACCATTATCAGGCTTATCCAAATCTTGCTTTAAACAGTTCTCTTTAAGGTATTTTTTCATAGTCTGAGGGATTCTTGAAATCAGACCATGATATTTGATAAAATTGTTGATTTTTACTCTTTCTTGAAATTGCTCAAATTTATAAAAATTCATATTTTCTTTATTAATTAGGTCACTTACTGACTGCACACCTCCTTGTTTCCATTGAATATAATATGGGAAATCATCCAAAGAAGAAAAGTTCAAAATATCTAATGATAAAATGTCACTGACAGAATTCTCAGTATTAGGTTTTGCGATAGAAAAGCATAGTAAAACATCCTTCCAGAAAGGATTTTTACATTTTTTAGAAATCTCAATCAGCTTTTCTTTCTGTAGATGTAAAACCCTTTCACCCCCATACTGTATAAGGTCTGCCAGTAACAACTGCTGCCAGCCACCAACTGGGTTTGACATCAGTCTTTTTATCCAACTAATTTTTAAATAGATATTAAAGGAATGAAGATGTACCATATTAAGTCCACCTTGTGAAATATCACCAATAAGTGTGTTACGCTTAATTCTGTCTGGTTTTCCACTCCATATAAAATTATAAAATAATGAAGTGAGCTCTGTTAACCTGGATTGTGATAGGTTTGGCAATGCAGTCATTAAGTGTACCAATTTCGAAAGAGCAAGTGATTTAACTACTGTAATTTTCCCCAATAATGTTAGTTTACGATGTTGCCAGCTCTTCAGGATTGCAGAGATTTCTTTAATCTTCTTGGCAAAATTAATTTCTGTGATACAGTTTAAATCTAAAGAAAATTCAATCCCCAAAAGTTTAAAATTTGAATGTGACCAATGAAGTTTTAAGTCAGGACAAAGAATCATATCTGAATACTTTTTGTTTCCAACCCATAGTGCTTTTGTCTTTGAAGCATTTATTTTTAAACCTGAAATTTTATAAAAAGATTCAAAACATGAAAGTGTTTCCCTCAACGATATTTCCCTTCCATCTAACATAAGGAATGTGTCATCTGCATACTGGCTTAAAAGTGATTCATTATCATTTACAGTTATTCCCCTTATTTCAGGATTATCTTTTAATTTTAAAGATAGTAATTCAACACCAATTATAAATAAATAGGGTGAAAGAGGATCTCCTTGTCTGCAGCCTCTTTCCAATTGAAAAAACTTAGAAGTATGTCCATTATTTATAACACAACTTGATGCCCCTGAGTATAAAGTTTCAAACCATTTACAAACTGAAGGCCCAAAATTAAAACTTTTTAAAGAATTTTTTAAAAATAACCATTCTAAGGAATCAAAGGCTTTTTCAAAATCAACAAGTAATAAAAGACCTGTCTTATTATTTTCTTCAAAATAGTGCATTAAATCATATAAAAGGCGTGTGTTCTCACCCATAAATCTATCTTTGATGAAACCTTTTTGTGTATCACTTATGACAAATGGTAAAACTGGTTTAAGTCTATTAGCTATAACAGCAGAAGCTATTTTCATATCAGTATTCAAAAGACTAATAGGACGCCAGTTACTTATATACTGTCTGTCTTTCCCCTCCTTAGGAATGCATGTAATTACACTTTGATACTGAGAATCAGAAAATTTTCCAACCTCGTATCCAAAATGAAGAGACCGAAAGATGAAAGGACCAATATCTTTCCAAAAAAATTTATAAAAGTCTACTGTGTACCCATCAGAACCTGGACTTTTACCATTTGTCATAAATTTTAACGAATCAGCACACTCTTTAAAAGTTAAATTTCCCTCACAAAAATCTCTTTGTTCTTCTGTGAGCTTAATGTTATGATTAAAAAATGATGAATCATCACAATCTAATTTTTTGCTTGAGTATAAATTTCTATAAAAATTTTGTTGTTCCGTTAGAATTTTTGATTGCTCTGATATATGTTGACCTTTATCATCTATTAGTTCTGTTATTGTTTTCTTTATAAAATTTTTCTTTTCTAATTTACAAAAATAATTTGAACATTTTTCACCATTCTCATGCCAGTTAGAGCGGGATCTAAGCAGCAAACCTTCAACCTTCTTTTGTCGACAATTTTCTAGTTCAAGTTTTTTATCAAGTAAAGATTTTTGAACCTCCTCATTTGGAGAATGGTTCATAATAGTTTCTAAATGTAAAATATTATTTTCAAGTTTGAGGGTGAAATTTTTTTCCTCCTTGGATTTATTTATGCTGTAATTTATGGACAAAGATCTAATCTTCATTTTCAATATTTCAAAAAATGTTTGATCATTACACGACAAATCAACAGAAAGAAGATCTTCCATATCACCTGTTGAGGATAACTTAAGTAGAGAACAGAAACTAAAAATTCAGCAATTTTTCTATTTGTAAACACGCATAACTCTAAAACGGTTGTGTATAAGTTTTATAACATTTGGTTGAGACAAACCAAAGTTAGAACCATTTCAATCTGAAAATATTTAAACTTCTTTCTAATATACACCCAAAATGTGAAACCTGATAAAATATAATGCCATTTTCAATAATAGGAGACGCTGCTTCATTAACTGAAAAAAACAAAAAATGTGGATAGTGTCGTTAGAGAACGGAAACGAAAAATTCAGCAATTTTTATGTTTATAAAGGGACATAACTCAAGAATGGTAAAAGTGTCGCAACTAAATTTCTTACTTAATCTGTATTATGTAGTAATAAGCATGTACATTTGATTGAGGCAAACTAAAGTTAGAAAACGGAAACAAAAAAATTGTACTGTCAACGTATATTTGTTCTGCCTAACAGAAGTTCCCCTGGAAACTTTGTTATAAACAATGTCATAATATCTGTTCCTGTTAGAACAAATATTCTATACCCTTTATTCCGTAAGGAACAAATTCTGTAATATTTGTTCCAATGGAAACAATATTACAGAATATTTCTTCCACTTGGAACTTATATTATGAAGGAACTTCTATTCCGTGACAGAACTTGATCTTAGTTTTGTGGTAATGAATATTGTAAAATTGAGAATGGAAATGAGGAATGTGTCAAAGAGACAACAACCCGACCATAGAGCAGACAACAGCCGAAGGCCACCAATGGGTCTTCAATGCAGTGAGAAACTCCCGCACCCGGAGGCGTCCTTCAGCTGGCCCCTAAACAAATATGTATACTAGTTCAGTGATAATGGACGTCATACTAAACTCCAAATTATACACAAGAAACTAAAATTAAAAATGATACAAGACTAACAAAGGCCAGAGGCTCCTGACTTGGGACAGGCGCAAAAATGCGGCGGGGTTAAACATGTTTTTTGAGATCTCAACCCTCCCCCTATACCTCTAGCCAATGGAGAAAAAACAAACGTAAAACAGTACGCACAGTAAAACTCAGTTTAAGAGAAGTCTGAGTCCGATGTCAGAATAGGAAACACAAGAAATTAACAAAATGACAATAATACATAAATAACAACAGACTACTAGCAGTTACTGACATGCCAGCTCCAGACCTCAATTAAACTGATTGAAAGATTATTCATCATATGAATATCAGGCACAATCCCTCCTGTTAGGGGTTTAGTATTATACCATCATAAAATATATGAGAAGAACATAACCCGTGTCATGCCAACAACTGGTTTTAGAATAAATATGTTTGATTCCGTGTATAGGTTTCATAATGTTTGGTTGGAGCAAACTTAAGTTACAGAATGGAAACTAAAAATTTTGCAATCTTTCGATTTATAAAGGGGCATAACTAAATAATGGTTAAAGTGACACTACCCAAATTCAACTTGATCTGTGTTTTATCAGTGATCGTCAAAATTAAACATTGCATTGTATAAAGCATTGATTGTAGTTGATTCAACTATAATCATGGACAAAGGAAGATAACTCCAACAAGAGTGCACATGCTGAAATGTCTTGCCTTCTTTACTAATCATTGATATTATGTTGATAGTCCTAAATATAAAGCTTTATTACAACTGTCACATAAATTTAACATTAACCAAGTAAACTAAACATTGACCAATGAACCATAAAAATGAGGTCAAGGTCAGATGAACCATGCTAGGCAGGCATGTACAGCTAACAATTCTTCCATACAACAAATATAGTTGACCTATTGCTTATAGTTTAAGAAAAACAGACCAAAACACAAAAACTTAACACTGAGCAATGAACCTTGAAAATGAGGTCAAGGTCAAATAAAACCTGCGTGACTGACATATAGATCATAAAATATTTCCATACACCAAATATAGTTGAACTATTGCATATAGTATTAGAAAAAAAGACCAAAACTCAAAAACTTAACTTTGACCACTGAACCATGAAAATGAGGTCAAGGTCAGATGACACCTGCCAGCTAGACATTGCATACGGTATAAGAAAAACAGACCAAAACACAAAAACTTAACTATAACCACTGAACCATGAAAATGAGGTCACGGTCAGATGACACCTGCCAGTTGGCAATGTACACCTTACAGTCCGTCCATACACCGAATATACTAGACCTATTGCTTATAGTATCTGGACTTGACCACCAAAACTTAACCTTGTTCACTAATCCATGAAATGAGGTCGAGGTCAATTGAAAACTGTCTGACGGGCATGAAGACCTCGCAAGGTACGCACATACCAAATATAGTTATCCTATTACTTATAACAAGAGAGAAAAATCTTAACTTTTTTTTCAAGTAGTCACTGAACCATGAAAATGAGGTCAAGGACTTTGGACATGTGACTGACGGAAACTTCGTAACATGAGGCATCCATATACAAAGTATGAAGCATCCAGATCTTCCACCTTCTAAAATATAAAGCTTTTAAGAAGTTAGCTAACACGGCCGCCGCCGCCGGATCACTATCCCTATGTAGAGCTTTCTGCGATAAAAGTCGCAGGCTCGACAAAAATTACTTGATATTTAGAAGAAAATAAATTTTGCAATTTTTCCATTTATAAAGGGGCATAACTCTAGAACGATTAAAGTGACGCCACCAAAATTCAAACTTGATCTGTGTTTTGTAGTAATAAGCATTGTGTATAAGTCTCATAACATTTGGTTGAGGCAAACTAAAGTTAGAGAACGGAAACTAAACATATTGCAATTTTTCCATTTATAAAGGGGCATAACTCTAGAACGGTTAAAGTGACGCCACCAAAATTCAAACTCAATCTGTGTTCTGTGGTAATAAGCATTGTGTATAAGTTTCATAACATTTGGTTGAGGCAAACTTAAGTTAGAGAACGCAACTTTGGGACGTAAGGAAGTATGTACAGACGGACAAGGGTAAAACTTAATGCCCCCTCTGTACGGCAAGGGCATAAAAAAAATACAATGAAATATTTATTGTAATTTTATTTTCTATTATTTCCCTTTAACAACATTTACAAAACCTAAAGAACAGATAACAAACACATTTAAAATATACAGTTCAGAAATTACATATCAGAATATTGGAGAAACATATTAGGTACCTGCAATGATAAACATCCTATAAAGCAGGAGATATGATAAGGCCACTTTTTTAGACCCTTAAATCAAAAATTAAAAGTATGATAAATCTACCAAATGACATCCGTTACATGTTCATAAAACATTAGACTGTCATATATCAGTATTCATATTTTTTTAATTTTGTTTGAAATCTTAACATTTGTGCTTCAAACTTGATGCTTTTAATGCAAATATGTGAAATCTTGCCTCATTTTTAGAGTTAGTCATCAATATTTAAATATGAGCAAAGGCCTTACCCAATATTTGATATTTTACATAAATGGGTCTGATCAATATTACAAACATCATTTACCAGAAAATATTAAAATATTATTATTATTATGCTGTTCTTTTATTTGAAGTAAAATAGAATATCATTAAAAATTAGTAGTTTTCTCTAAAATAATTTCATACATAATCATAAATGTGTTTTTCTTCAAACATTTATTTGTAACTAATTAAATAGATTTTTGTAATCTTTTGTGATATAAATTCTTATTCCATCATGTTGAGAACAGCTTAGGTCTGGTTTATTATTGCAATTCCATGGCTAATAGCATGTTATCAAATGTACCATTACAAATAAACAGCTGTGCCAATAGCACATGATACGCCCTTATTGTGCATGTGCATATTGAAATTGTTGCAAAAATAAAATTGGTGATTAAGAATTAATTCAGTCAGAAGCAAATAAAATGGCTCTGTAGAAAAACTTGCATGATGATATCCTTAGGTGTATAAATATTGTGTCAAATATGAAAGTTTAAAGTCCCATAACTCTCAAATGACAAACCAGAAAAAATTCAAAATCAAAAGCGAGTCTGCATTCAACAATCCCTACAACAGTGATAAGTTTGTAGAAATTTGATCCAAGCATGTTAGAGCTAGTGCATGATATTAAAGATTAATGGCTGTCAAAGTCCCAGTGTGTTACATGTTTTCCTTTTATCAATCCTAACACTAATGTAAAGTATAGGGGAAATCAATCCAGTCATAATTGAGTAAATGCAATTATGTAAAAAATGGGCTTAATTCAATGGGTTAAAAGTCCTGAAAATCTAGAACAACATAGCCAAAAACTTTCATTATCGAAAGGGAGCTTTCTTCCATCATTCATTATATTGTAATAAATTGCTTCGCCGAGCGAAGCTGGATACGACCGCAGAGGTCCAACCCTGAACAGTTGGGGCAAATTTGCTGTTGCGAATTGACCCCCCCCTTCCCCCACACACTTTTTTTGGCAAAAAAAAATAATATTTGAAGAATTTTTCTTTTTAATTTCTGAAATCTGAAATGAGAAAAAATTGACCCCCCACAATTTCTTTTTACCCCCAAAGAAATTCTTTCCCTCATGATGTGGTCATAATCTCAATTCAAATTTCCAATGGAGTTTGCAACCATAATTACCCATTTAAATTTACCATAGTGCTAACTTAATCTATTCTATAATAGAATTTAAAATATGGTGTCAAATCTTTCATATGGATTTTTTTGTAAAAAAAAACAGATGCAACTTTTGCAGATATTTTTACTGGTCTTCCTTTATAAATATGCATTTCTTTAAACATAATTTAAAAGCAGTGTAAGGGAGGTAATCAAAACGTTGTATTTGGATTACCTCCCTTACACTGCTTTTAAATTGTCTTAATTGTTCATTAACCATTACTTTATACATAGTTTAAAAGCAGTGTAAGGGAGGTAATTCAAATGATGTATTTGAATTACCTCCCTTACACTGCTTTTAATTATGTTTTGTACTAAAGTACTTGTCCATTAACCAGGACACCCTTGTTTTTCCCCCTTTTTTGCCCCTAATTCCTAAACTTAGCCATAACCCCCAAAGTAAATCCTAACCATCCCTTTGCGGTATGGAAACTTGTGGTATAATTTCAGAGAGATCCACACACCGTTCCACAAGTAATTGTCTGGAAACTAGAAAAATGCTTATTTTTGGCCCCTAATTCCTTAACTGTTGGTACCATAACCCCTAAAATCAATCCCAACCTTCCTTTTGTAGTATTGAACCTTATGATAAAATTTCATAGAGATCCATTCACTTAAACTAAAGTTATTGTGCGAAAACCAATGTGTCTTCGGACCAAAAAGACGACGCCGATGTCATACCAATATACGACTGCAAAAATTTTTTGCTGTCGTATAAAAATAACAAAATTGGTTAAAGAAAATTTGAGTTACCTGAAGAAGCGTTGATGGCAGAAAGACTGATGGACAGACAGACATTATTAGACCATATTAAGTTTCGTAATAGCAGTCATGTAAAAAATGTTGTTGTCAGTTCACTCTATGCAAGATATCCCTGTTTTTTTTTTAAACACCAGCCCCATTTGATGGCAGATATGATAGTCATAGAACTACAGTCAATCAGTTTAAAAATTTAGGACATTATCATATCAACAGGTCATCAAGGCAGATACATGTGAAACATGAAGTGTGCATCTTTTCTGTTTTTAACAACAGACTTCATACTGTAAGACTGGGTTGTGAATACTACAATAATATATAACCAGAATAAACATGATCTAGCCAATTTATATGGACTTTCAGTTTTTTGTTCTAAACAAAAAAGATCTGTAATTCATCTGATATATCTTATCTACCCTGTCTTGCTATTGGATTCACAGAAAGTTATGTACTATGAAATATCACATCAAAATAAATCATCCCCATCCTCAATTAAATAAGCTCATACATTCTGCTCTTCCTTACACCTGTGTCTTTAGAATTAGTTCACACTGTCATTTTCATATTATACATCTTTGTTTATAAAATTTGAAATACTATTTTGGAAAGAAACACAGCACTGATGTCTTTCTTTTGAAAATTGCACACTAAAATGTATCTTTCATAAAGTTGCAATTTGGTATTGGTAAAATAATAAACAAGCCAAAGTTAGGAAAACGTAAAAAGAAAACAGCAGAAAATGAGAAAAACTGTAATCAAAGCTCATAAATTCTTGTCTACCCCTCATTTCAAGTTTGTTTTACTAAAAGAAATCCCAAATATTATTCTAATCAATTAAATAAGATATTTAAAGTGTCAGCTTAAGAAATATAAAAATGTGACTTCTGTTACAGCTCACTTTAAACTGATATAGTTCTCCAGCCTTTACCAGCAGTCTTGGGAAATATGACAAGGAACCACAGCGTATTTCCTGACTATGAAAGGACAGCACATTATTGACTGCAGTCAAAGAACACACTTCTACTCATTGTTACTCTTTTTAATAAAACATTCTTATACACATCACAAGCTTCTAGTACACAATGTAATAAGTTCCTAAAGATCCTGTAAAGTTTGATAAAAATCCAGCATTTGGTTTAGGAGGATACTAGTAGCCTTTTGTAGCTATTACAGAATTTTTGCTATGAAAAGTAAAAAAACCCATTCATCTTAATTGTCACTTGTTCAATCATTTATATATCAATCTGGTTTGTCTATCTTTGTCTGTTCTAATCTATCATGTATGTGAGCCTGTAAGTTTGGATAGCTCTGTCATAAGATGGGTATTTCTAATCCATCAACATCTTGGAAATTTTAGAGTTTATAGTTTCTATCAATCATCATCTACATCATATATATCAACATCCTCATCATAATCTAAAAAAAGAGAGAGAGAAAAGGTTACTTGCTGAATTAGTGCCAACATCATACCAATATACGACCACAAAAATTTTTTTGCGGTCGTATAAAAAGTTGGGACAACTGTTTTTTTTTCTCAGAATGACAGACATGGCTAAAGCTATAGTGGCCAAGTGAAACTTTTCACCTACTACAGTGCTGGTAGACTGAGGTTATCTTTACAAGTACATGTCAGCCAACTATCAACATGATGCAATTGAGGCACCTGAACATAAAATAATACTTTTTCTAGATTCAGCTTCTTCAACATAACAGTAACAAATGATTTCATTCTTTAAATGTTATTGCCACTGGTAGGATAGCAGACATGTGAGCAGTGATGTCAGATCTTGACTGCCACTGGATGCCACCTGTCAGATTTGGATCAATTCAAAGTAAAGCAACAATGCCTTATCAATACTAACTTATATCTGTTGAATGCCCTAGTAGTTGAGCTGCACTAAGACAGCCTTCATCTTCATCAACTAAATCATCCTCATCTTCATCTGTAAAAAAGTAAACAATTCTTCATTTAATTTACTCCCCAACATATTCATAAAAAAACTTAAGGAATGATGATACACATACCAATGAAAATGAATCTTAACAGCACATAAATTTCCTTATTCCTTATGTTAACAGTTCATGATGATAGCTTGTAACACCAATGTTAAAGGACAAAAGTCCCATAACTCTAGAATGAAAAACTGACAACACTGATAACTAATTTGATAAAACAAAAATCTAAGTAAAAATTTCAACAAGATTATATTCAAGGAATTTATTGAATTTTTAACAAATTAAGCCCAATTACTCTGGAACTACATATCTGAAAATGGCAAAAATAAAAAAAAGAACCAGTTTCCAAGGAACCAAAAGTAGTTTTGAATTTAGTAAAAATTCTTTTAAGCAGACTTGACCTATCATATGATAGTTCAGAATTTAGTTTTTTTTTTACATAAAATGAAACATAGTGAAAAATATTGTAAAGATCCAAAAAAGAAAACCAGAGTTATTATGAGACATGAAAGGATAGATGCTCAATGAGATACATGTACCAATAATTATGGTGATAAACTGTTTCCATAGATACATCAATCTAATGAGTTGTATCAAAGGGCAGGTAAAGAAAATGCATTTTTGTTTTCACTTTCCTACACATTGACTTATCCAAGGCTAAAACAGTTAAAGTCTAAAATAAGACACATACTTTACCAAATATAAAAAAACAGGTCATACAAATAATATGCCAGCACAACACTTTTTAAACAGAAAATGATTTACACTGAAAACTGATTTTACTGTAAATGTATTTTTTTGATTTTTTTAAATTTTGGCATCAAAGTAAAGTTCCCTTTTGTAACTTGATGCAGAACATTTTTGAAACTATGAAAGTTCCAACTGATTTCAGTTTATAAGGATATCAATATTATTCATTTGCTGCTTTGTAGTTGCATTTGAAAAGAAGAGCGTTGAAAGTGTGACTTAAGCACCTGAAATATTTACATAAACCCAACATAACATGAAATTAAATAAAATATATCTGCTTCTTAAAACATCTGTCATTCCTTTAAACCATTCAAACTTTGCAAGAAGGGGATTGTATCAGTACATGATAATTTTAGAGTCAATTCAGGCTTTTTGAAATGGCTTTCCAGAAATAACTATATGATCCTGCATATGGTTCATACCTTCTTTGTCATCAGGTCCATAATCTACAGGTCCACTTTCTACTATTACTTCCAGGTCTTTTGCTGTTTCTTTTTCTGAGTTTTCATCTAATTTTAACCTCTTCGAGGACAAATTCTGTAACAGAATGATAAGGCTCTTTTGATATGTCATTTAGTTTAGTAAAACATGCATGACTAAAAGAATGTAGGATAGATGTCAATCAGACAGTAGAATATGTGTCTAATAAATAAAACTGTTATCACAGACCTAATTATACAGTTCATGTGCTTTGAAACATATTCAAAATTAGAAATGATATAAACTGCCATTTATATGCAAGTCCATCCAAATCTCACTAACCAGAAATAACAAAACCAGGCAATCACTTCAAATTCAGTGGGTCATGTCTTCAAGATTTATTAAAACATTTAACCCGCTCATTGTTTTATAAACAAAGAAATAGTCTGTCCTTTTGCACAACAGATACCAATCATCAATAAGATTTGTTTATTGGGACAGACTGTGTCAAGATAATTAATTTATCATTGTATTTATTCAATATTCCATTTAAAATGATTAATTGAGTATGTAAATAATTAAGCTTAAAGATGTCTGTTTTGAATAAAACCACATGTGCCAACCTTACCTGTGAAATTTTTCCGCTGTTTTCTGGTCTTAATCTACTAGTTGTTTTACTGAATCTACAAATAAAATTAACCATTAAAGACTGAACTGATTTATATTATTTGGATAATTTCATCATGATATATTGTTTTTTGCTTTGTAATATTTTTTATGTTAAAATACTCAATCAACTGTGACCAATTGAAAATAATAAGTCACAATACATTTTGTGTGTTTCTTTTTGGTTCTGGATTTTACCATGTGTAACTTATATAGTTTGCAAACATTTCACAAGAAATGGCCTATCCTTTGGTAAAATTAAGAAATTATTCTGTCATGTCATGCTCTATGCTTATTTTAACATGGGTAGGCATTATCTTTGTCAATATTTTTACACTGAGCATTAGTGAGGTGTAAATGTTGAAAAAAATTATGCTTACCCGTGTTAAAATGAGCAAAGAGCAGAACATAAAAGAATTATTTTTATTCTTATAGGAATATTCAGAACTTTTGTACTTTAGAGTTGACATATAAAACACATTCAAAATTCAGTCAATTTGATTTAATGAAGCAAAAACATTCTAGAAAAGCAACCTTTTCAAGACTTAAAATTGTATAAATACATGAACATGGACAGTGATAATATTTTACACAAAAAAATTTAAAAAAATAATTGGACATATTCATTATTTATTATGTTGAAATATACTTAACGGTTACTTCTCTGGGAATAGGAATTGTATTTATTTTTCTCTGTAATGATTATGATTAAAAATTAAAAAAATGCAAAACGACATACAATAAGTTGTGTGCACATGTTGAAAATATATGTACTGTTTAAAGAACAGTTCTGTTTACATACTATAGACAACTCTCAAAATCATGCATTTTCCTGTACATTTTCTTAGTCACAATGCTTATCTAATAATGTCACAGCAAGATCAGATTGTTCAATGACATCATTTAAATGCTGATTGACCCCAGGTCAACTTGTTGGCATAAAATTCAGAAAAGACAATCTGATGTACAGCAACATTGCTAATTTATTCAAAGTCGCTGGACCATGAACTAGTGGTAGGGCCTTGAAATGGTCAACAAAATGAGATGTACAAACAGTAATGTAACTTTATAGAAAATATTGTTGTTTATTGTAAGTAATTCCTATCAAACTAACTTAAGCTGAAAACTTAACATTGAAAAATTTCTTATTAATTCAAAGTCACTGGACCATGACATATAGATCAGGGAGTCGAAATAGTTGTCAAACTGATATGTACTGATAGTAATGCAACTTTATAAAAAGCATCATGGATCTATCACAAGCAGTTCCTATCAAACTAACTTGAGCAGAATGCTTAACATTGAAAATTGCTAATTAATTCAAAGTCACTGGACCATTACCTAGAGGGCAGGGCCTCAAAATAGTTGTCAAACTGACTTGAACTGATAGTAATGCAACTTCATACAAAATATCATTGATCTATCACAAGTAACTATATATAGTTCTTATCAAACTAACTTAAGCAGAAAACTTCACAATTGTTGACACCATCGCTGCCGGAAAAGCAATACCTATGTCTCTCCTTCTGCAACTATCGTCGCAAGTGAGATAAAAACAACTTGAGATTGATCTATTGTTGTTATGATTTGAAATATATCACCTTCACAGCATACAAAGGGCAAAATGACAGTCATACCTATTGATAACAGGTTCACCATTTGGTATAACTGTAGCAGAAGAGGTAGTTTCTTTTGAAGGTGACCTGTTGACACCTGTAAATTTCAGATCATTGAGTACTTCATAATTTATTTTATTTGAGATTTTCTTCTCATGTAACAGTCTGACTATGGCTTCCTCTGCAGAAGCAGCTGGTCCCATTGATGGTGGCTTTTTCTTTCGCTTTCTATGCTACAAGTTATAGAAATTCCTTTTATCTAACAATGTTGAAAGTATTCACAAGCAATTTTATATACCTTTATAGTAATATGATATCAATAGCTTTATCATAAGGATAAGAAAAATCATAAATTTATCACATATTTGACAGAAAAACAAGCCACACAAGATTAATCTTAATTGGTACATTTCAAAGAATATGATATAAAATTTGGAACTGGCTCATTTTTCATGATATTTTGAAAAAAAAAAAAATTATTGGTCCTTTAATTAATATTTGTTTCTATGCATCTGTTTTTAAAAAAAATCAGAAGCTATTTTTAATATATAAAAACAAGACAACATTCTTTTTAATATACCTTTTTCTTATCAGGATTTTTTTCTTCTTCCTCTTTTTCTTTTGCTAATCTTAATTCCTTTTCTGAAATAAAAAAGAAATCATGATCTAATTTGATGTTCCATACTGCTTTATCAAGGGATATTTGAAAGATTTCTTGCTTTTGCAATTTCAAAAATATCTCCAGAACCTGCTGTCTTGACTTTCAGGAAGCCAAAATGAGGACCTCAGGGAAGATTAGCTTTAAATCTAACTGTATTATTCTCTTTAAATAAAGAATTATTATAATTATTATAATCAATAAATTTTATTTCTCCTGGCCCTACCAATGTGAAATAGAGATTGACCAAGGATCGAAAGCTAGGACAAATCATGTATATACATCTGCCAGAGTAATTTACACTTAAGTGATTATATATTAAACATGTCAACAGGTAACAGTTAAATTCTCACCTAATTGCCATATTTCACAGTTATAAAATAATTATAACAAACTGTCACTAATCATAATGATATATATGGTTGTCTATCTCATCAATTTTCCATTCATAAAACTTAAAGCCAATGTGTTTCAATGGAAAAGAAAATATTCAAGTTTCTGGCAGATAAAGTTGTAAGTTTTTCACTTATCATTCATGTTAAAAAAATCAAAGGACAATAGTCTTCTCATGTGTCTGTTTAAAACTTTTTATGGTCGATTTCTGTTTGAAAAAAACCTGTAATTTATTTCTAAATTAAGTGTAAATAAAATGCTCCGCTGGGCGCAGCTTGATACGACCGCAGTGGTCGAACCCTGAACAGTTGGGGCAAGTATGGACACAACATTCAAGCTTGATACAGCACTGAATTTGGATTGTGATTAAATATTTGACACAGCATAGGTTTCTGACACAGAATGAATGTGGTCTAAGAACTTAAAAATTTTTAATTTACCTATTCAAACCATATCATTATTATTTGCTTTTATATAAAAATCAGAAATAACCAATTTAAAATGGAAAATTTTAAAGAAAAAAAAGGGGAAAAAAATCCCCCCTCATATATTTTGAACCCCTTATGATTCATCACCCCCAAACTCAATCCCAGCCTTCCCTTTGTGTTACAATGTATGGTGCCTTGCAGTACAATTTCAGAGAGATCCGTACACTTGAACACAAGCTATTGTCTGGAAACTAGAAAAATGCTTGTTTTTTTGCCCCCTTTTGGCCCCAAATTCCTCAACGTTTAGGGCAATTACCCCCAAACTCAAACCAAGCTTTCCCTTTGTGATATGGAACCTTGCAGTACAATTTCATAAAGATCCATACACTAACACACAAGTTATTGTCCTGAAACTAGAAAAATGCTTGTTGTTTTGCACCTTTTTGGCCCCTAATTCCTAAAATTTTGAGGCAATTACCCCCAAAATCAATCCCAGCCTTCCCTTTGTGGTATGGTACCTTGCAGTACAATTTCAGAGAGATCCATACACTTGAACACAGGTTATTGTCTGGAAACTAGAAAAATGTGTTTTTTGGCCCCATTTTGGCCCCTTATTCCTAAATTTTTTGGGCAATTACCCCCAAACTCAATTCCAGCTTTCCCTTTGTGATATGGAACCTTGTAGTACAATTTCAGAAAGATCCATACACTTACACACAAGTTATTGTCATGAAACTAGAAAAATGCTTGTTTTTTGCCCCTTTTTTTGCCCCTAATTCCTAAAATTTTGAGGCAATTACCCCCAAAATCAATCCCAGCATTCCCTTTGTGATATGGAACCTTGTGGTAAAATGTCAGAGAGATCCATACACTAACACACAAGTTATGTCTGGAAGTTACAAAAATGCTTATTTTTGGCCCCTTTTTGGCCCCTAATTCCTTAACTGTTGGTACCATAACCCCCAAAATCAATCCCAACCTTCCTTTTGTGGTATTGAACCTTGTGGTAAAATTTCATAGAGATCCATTCACTTAAACTAAAGTTAGAGTGCGAAAACCAATGTGTCTTCGGACGACGACGACAACGACATACAAATATACGACCACAAAAATTTTTTTGCAGTCGTATAAAAATGTCTAAAAGTTATTGGTACGATACTTGATGGATCAATTTTTTCTCACCCTTAGGTCATACCGTAAAATTTAAAATTCAATATTAGAAATACGAATGTTTTCAAATAGAAATTTAAGAAAATTTATATACTTTCCTTAGTTTACAGAATAATTAACAAATTCAAATCACTTTAGAAATAACAAGTTATTGCAGTTTAAAATTCAGATTTTTTTTTTCCTATTGAGAAAAACATTAATACTGGTGAATAAGACATCACAAATGTGGTTCACAAACTTTTTTTTATATATATTTTTTTATCAATGGTTCTTAATCCTTTATCATATACATAGTCCTCTACACAACAGTTTATAAATGAGTTGATGGGTAATATTAGATCTGAAATTCTTGCCTAAAATTAAATAGTGAATCATTGTAATTTAATCTTTTTTTAAAATATCATGGATATCAATTTTTTAAATATGTACCTTCCAAAGCCTTGAGATAGTCAGAATTTTCAGCCATCCATATACTGGTTTTAAGTTTGATTTCATCATCTGAGAGTAAAAACTGTAATAGATATGAACCACATGGACATATAAAACTGTAAATACAGAAAGATGTCTAAATAAACAACAACAAAAGTATACCCCAAATCGAAATTAGACACGGACAAAAAATTCCATGCTCAGTGGGGATAATAAATATTCAGAGTATTGTCAAACAGGACCTCTCGGTAGATCTAAATATTAAGTAATTAATCTCAAATAATTTCAAAAACTTAACATGAGGTGCTGATGATGACTGAAAGTAACACCTTTGTTTCAACTTCCATGACGAATTCCTACAAAATTTGTCGCAGATGAAACAAAAACAAATCATCTCCTTCCATGACGAATTCCCACAACATTTGTCACAGATGAAACAAAAATGGATAAACTTACTATTTATATAGGTATCATGGATGAATCACATAATGGAAATAATTAAAGAAACAAGAAATGATTCCAACAGGATGCTGCTGCGAAGTCTCCCAAACACAGTCCCTATAAGTAAAATCCCCTAAGTACTCTCCTTATTGAATCAATTGAAAAAAAAAGTTCAAGGTAATAATTGATCACTGACCTTTTGACCTTTCAGTAGTCCATGTGTTCCCATTGTCATTAATGGAGACCCCATGTGTCCCCCCCTTTTTTTTCAAAACAATAATATTTGAAATTTTCTTTTTGATTCCTGAAATCTTGAGGAGAAAAAATTGTCCCCACCCCCATTTTTTTTAACCCCCCCCCCCCCCCCCCTTTTTCCAAAAAAAAATTCTTTCCCTCAAGATATGGTCATAATCTCAATTCAAATTTCCAATGGAGTTTGCAACCATAATAACCCATTTAAATACATCATAAAAGTCTTAAAATAGAAAATGTCATATACATAATCATGGCTAAAATTAATATACCTTAATCAGCATTTTTAAAATTATTATAATAGTAATTTCTAAAAATAAATTGACAGCTAATCACCTCAAGACAATACAACATTTCTTTAAACATAATTTAAAAGCAGTGTAAGGGAGGTAATTCAAACACAACATTGTACTTAAGTAATTGTCCATTAACCAGGACACCCTTGTTTTTTCTCACTTTTTTGCCCCTTATTCCTAAACGGTTTGAGCCATAACACCCCAAAGCCAATCCTAACTATCCCTTTGTGGTATGGATGTATGGATGTACAGACTGACAAGGGTAAAACTTAATGCCCACTCTCCGCTACAGTAGGGGCATAAAAATTTTAAATCCCATAGGGTTCTATAGTAAACCCCTACTTTCTTTTGGCCTCACAGTACCCCTTTATAAACCCCATTGCACAAACAAAACCCTGATTGCACCACTCGACATGTTAGTCTAACAAATTGTGGAACACTAAGTTAATCTGACTAGTGGGTTTGGAGAACGGGTGCAGACATGTTCAAATTTAAAAGCGGCAGAAGAGGAAGAAGAAGAAGAATACTATTAATAATAATAACAAGAACTGAGCAAAACCAGTAAGTCTCCAAACTTTGTTTGGGAGACTTAATAAATAAAGAATGTTTCCATGGGACACAGATGCCCCAACTTGAAAATATATGGCAAACTCTGCAATTTTTCAATTTACAAAAGGACATAACTTAAGAACGGTGAAAGTGACGCCACCTAAATTCAAACTTGATTTTTTTTGGTGGTAATAAGCCTTGTGTATAAGTTTTATACATTTTGTTGAAGCAAACTAAAGTTAGATTGGAGAAACGACAAATTTTGCTATTTTTCCTTTAATAAAGGGACATAAGTAGAGAAAGGTGAAAGTGACGCCACCCAAATTCAAACATGATCTGTGTTTGGTGGTAATAAGCATTGTGTATAAGCTTTATAACATTTGGTGGAGACAAACGAAATTTAGAGAACAGAATCTTATTTTGGGACGTATGGAAAAACGGATGGACGTACACATAGGCAAGGGTAAAACTTAATGCCCCCTCAGCCATGGCGGGGCATAAAAATTGTGTTGAAGGGCCTAATTTGACCTTAAAACTGAAGTTTTATAACATCATGTGATTTTTGTGTAAGATAATTGGTAGATATACGCAAATTCAAAAAATAATAAAGAAAGCATTAAAAACAAAACAAATAATTTTTATATCGTTCACAGCAATATCATATCATTTCTAAAGAAATTCTTAAGACATTTATAGATGTACTTTGATGTAAATTCTATATTGATTGTATCTCTAAAAGTATTAACATTACATAAAAATCTTTTCAATTCAGAGATACAGTTCAATGAGTTTTAAATGCATAAAAATTTCAAAAATATCGCTCAATCATATATAATTCACTGTAAACATGGTATCTGGTCAAATCTTGATGAAACTTGCAAAATTGATAGTCTATCTGAATTGTGTTTACCTTATCTAACTCTTCATCATCAATGCCATGTAAATCTAATTCCCCATCATCACGTTCAGAATCTAAAAGAACATCAAAACATGTGAAAATTTCTCATAAATACATTAAATTATTCTAAAGGATACATACAATGTAAATTTAAAATACAGAAGATAAATGAATGCATGGAATTTAGATTCCAGTTAGAATATGAATTTAATATTACCTGATTCTTTTAAGCATTCTGACAAAACTTCTTTAATTCCTAAACTAGCAGCTGTTGGTCGTAAAGTTGAGTATGATACAGGATTGTTTGTTGTTGTTTCACTAATATTGTCTATATCTGAAATAGCTTCTTTAAATGTTTCCTCTTCTAAAAAAGTACTAACTCTTGATACCTCTTCATTGTCACCTAAAGGAGATGCAGCCATTTCTGAAAAGGGATAAATAATGTTTTGATAACTTAATACCAAGACCAACATTGGAGTGCAAGAAGGAACAATTTCATTTTGGGGTGCAAGAAAGCACAATTTCTTTACAGAGCATAAAAAGGCACAATTTCATTATGGAGTGGTGCAAGAGCGCAAGAAGGCACAATTCTATTATGATAAATTGCAAGAAGGCACAATTTCATTATCGAGTGCAAGAAGGCATAATTTCATTATCAATTGCAAGAAGGCACAATTTCATTATCAAGTGCAAGAAGGCACAATTTCATTATCAATTGCAAGAGGTACATTGAGCTTGTGTGTAGTAATTGCAAGTGCTTTTTCATATGGTGTTATCAAAATCTTTGCTTTTATAGCTGTGTTTAAGAAATTTTTAATACAAATAAACTGAATTTTAAAGCTTTGTCTGTTCTTTTTATATATTATATTTTTAAGGGTATTGTTTGTGCTTTTACTGACTGAAATTATATCTGAATTACACTGCAATAATAAATCTAAACTTGTCACATGTTAATAAAATGTGTCTATCATAAATCTTTTCTGGGATCTTGATATGATTTTTTCTATAATATCATTGTAAAATGACTTCAAAGGTCAGAATGTATAACTAAGGAAGAGGAATTTCATACTATGCTTTAAACATATATGCATTGATGAAAATGCAACCCAATCCTTTATATCTATGGACTTTCATAATCACTCCTGAAACAGAAAACTAAAAATTTGGACAATGTAAAATTTAAAGTTAACATAGTTACATGAGAGTAAAATACTTCATTTACTATTTGCAACTGAGATGTGTGGTTGCTTATCCACACATACCGGTATGTGCCACATCTGAAACGGACCTCATAAGAAAGCTACCTATACATCAAAGATGAAGTCTATGTAGATGAAATAAGTATGTCTAGTCTCCTGAAACTAGTTACATAAAAAAAACCTTAAACATCTTTCCATGTCACTTTTTTTGAGTCATTTAATCATTCATAACTGATTTGAGCTATTAACTAGATTGAGTGTCATTGACCATGTACAAATGTTTAGATTGGAGAAATTTCATAATAGAGTATACATAATATAGCTATACTAACTAGCATATGCTGCATATATTCCTACAGGTTTTGGTGGAACCATGGATTTCTCTATTTGTTCTTTTATTAGCTCTACTTCTGATTCCAGCTCTGGAAATTTATCTAACTAAAAATAAAATATCAAAGTCTATTTGATTGACATTCAATATCAGTAATAACAAAATGATTTATTTGAACAATTTTGTACAGTTTTTGAGACTAAGGATATTGTGATGTATCTTATTTAAAACAAATTAGGAGAATAATGCTCCCTCCCTCAACTACATTCATGTTATAGATCTCACAAAACATGTTTAACCCCACCGCATTTTTGCACCTGTCCCATGTCACGAGCCTCTGGCCTTTGTTAGTCTTGTATGTTTTTTAATTTTAGTTCATTTATATGTTTTGGAGTTTAGTGTGACGTCCATTTTCATTGAACTAGTACACATTTTGTTTAGAGGCCTGCTGTAGCCCGCCTCCAGGTGCAGGATTTTCTCACTGTTTTCTGCTGTTTGGTCGGGTTGTTGTCTCTTTGACACATTCCCCACTTCTATTCTCAATTTTATAAATTAGTCTGGAGTTGAACTAGGTCTTATACATTTAAACCTCACTTTCAACACACCCTCTGAGCAAGGCCAAAAATAATATGAAGTATGATTCATGCCCTTGAAGGTACTCCAAAGGTATGAGCATGGCACAAGTTATGAACAAAAGGATATGAGGATTAAAAAAACATCAATGAGACAGCAACCCAACAACAAAAATTACCAAAATACACCTAGAGGACAATATACAGTCTTCAAAAATAGACAGGTGTCTTTACAATATCTCAAACTCCAAACTTTCCAGAGTCTATAAAAGATGTGAATAATTTAAATAGAAACAATCAAAGATCTGACGTTTAAACCTAGTTATCCAAATAATGAAAAACATAAAGATTAGACATAAGAAAACCACAGTTAAGGATCCTGAATTTGGACAGGTACATTAATATGTTGCAGGTTTAAACTATTTTCTGAAAACACAACCCTGCCCTTTTTAAATCCTGACCAATAGACTTACAAAATATACATGAAAGAACATACAGTCAGTACAAGAAAAACAGTTCAACTCAAAAGTAGGTTCAACAACTTTCCCATTTTGGCTAACAAAGGAGAAATTAGCTATCCATCTTTGGACTAAGCATGTTACCTTGATCTTTCAGAATTATTCTACCCTTATATAGAAGTTGGGACGCACGCTTAAGTCATGCTGGTGGGGGCATATCCATTAAGACTTTCAAATTATAGCAACAATTATTCCATACCTGAGCATGAAATTTAGCTTCTTGTGCTTTACGTTTACTGGCAGTGAAAGCTGGGGGATCTTGTTCTTCCTCTAAATCTACAGTCTGGAATTCTTCTATAGTCAACTGACTTGATGGTGTAGCTTTAAACTCTGACAATCTTTCAAAGACAGGATATACATAATTTTAGACAAAAATCAGCACAAATTTCAGTTCAGTTAAGTTCAGTTTTGTATCTCCAAACAAATTAGCTAAGATGCCTTTATCACTTATTGTTTCTTTCAATTCTATCAAAACTTAGTAACATTACCTTGTCACTTTGATGTTTAACCCTTCAAAATTAACTTGGTATAAATAAATAACAGTACATTCAAATTGTTGCTCAATCTATAGTTTTCTTAGCTTGTGATCACTGTCAGGTGTGAAATAAAACCACAGGTAAAAAGTGATTAGCGATCATTAGCCAATGTTTCCTGGAGGCATTGATATAGATATTAGGAGGGCCCTCAGGATTATCAAACTTCTGTAGTGGCAGTTTTATTACAGGAAAGGGATTATAAACACAAACAAGTGATCACAAGTGCAAAATGGCGATTAAGAAATCCGATTTCAAACATTGAGTCAAAGAAATGACCGAAATTACTTCTGTAAAAAAAAAGAATTTGTCCTAAATCCCAATTACTCGTTTAGGACAAATAGTTTCATCTTAGGACATGACGGGCAAATATGACCGTTTCCGGACTCTTGGTTTTCTATGTAGTGACTTGTGCCTTATTGTTTTTTCTTTTTGGCTATGGTTTTTTCTGTGCATATTCAACTTCAGATTTTGTATCTTAACATATTACTTTATTTTTCACAGATCAGATAATTAAAACTAAAATGTCCTAGATTGTGAATTTTAATCAATGTTCACATCTAAATTAATGTTGACCATTTTGAGATTGCAAATACCAACAGATATTGTTCTTCAAAAAAAAAAAACACAACTTTATTACAATAGTTACCTTTTCCTTATAGTTGTATCACAGACTTTTGCCACTTTGATTATCTGCCTTACTGATCTACTAAACTCATGCATTCTAGAGGCAACTAGTAAAGCTGAAATTTAACATAACTCATTAATGATCATTACACATATCTGTAATTCTACTGAATTCATATTCATATTTTACTATAATAAATAAGTCTGATAATCAGTCCAATAGATGCATTTTCAATGGGCTAAAGCTACTGGTATGTACTCAACCAGCTGAAAAAAATGAACAAAACTGTTTTGATAACCATGTGCTGTTAAGCCTATTTTTGAAATAAGAAAATAACAAACTGCTTCGCTGAGCGTAGCTGGATACGCCCGCAGAGGTCCAACCCTGAACAGTTGGGGCAAAAAGGGACACAATATTCAAGCTTGATACTGGTCTGAATTTGGATTGTAATTAAATATTTGACATATTATAGGTTTCTGAATAAATGTAGTCAAAGAACTTGAAATTGGTTATATGAATTAAATGTATATTCAATTAAAGATTTCTTGCTGTTGTGCAATACACTATGCTGTTGTGCAATACTTTGTAAATCTGTTGTCAGACTATAAACAAATAAAGTTCAATTTCTTCTCAATGTCATATTTGAAATTTATGAAAATCAATAGGGAGATTACATCAATAGCTATAAATAATTCACCAAAGTTTCATGAGAACTGCTGAAAGCATTTTTGAGTTATTGTCCAAAAACTGGAAAATCCCCCCTTTTTGAATGAATAAAACCCCATAACTCAGAAATGTAACATCTGAAATTTATAAAATTCTTAAGGGAGCTTACATCAACAGATATAAACAATTCACCAAAGTTTCAATAAAGCATTTTTTAGTTATTGTCCGAAAACTGGAAAATCATCCTTTTTTTATGAATAAAACCCTGTAACTCGGAAAAGTAAAATCTAAAATTTATAAAAATCCAAAGGGAGCTCATGTCAATAGATATAAACAATTCACCAAAATTTCTTGCAAGTTGGTGAAAGCATTCTTGAGTTATTGTCGGAAAAATGGAAAATCCCCCCTTTTTTAATGAATAAAACCCCAAAACTAAGAAACGGTAAATCTGAAATTTATAAAAAACGAAAGGGAGCTCACGTCAATAGATATAAACAATTCACCAAAGTTTCATGTGTATTGGTTAAAGCTTTATTGAGTTAATGTCCGACATGTTGACGACGGACGGACAGACGGTCAACGGTATACCATAATACGTCCCGTAAACAGGCGTATAAAAACTGTGTTATGAGTAGACCTACTGCAATTAAGATAGTTCTTCCTATGATAAATAGAGTTTGCACCATCTTTTTAGTAAAATTTATGCCACAGTATTTTTATCCTTATCTAGTTACATGTATCCAATTTTTTTTTGTCAGTCATTATCAAGCAAAATTAGTAAAGATTATCATACTGGTAAGTAGACATGAAGGGAATGTTAGGTGTGTTATTTACCTGCTCCACAAAGTCCTGATGGTCTACGTCCAGTGTGCATCCAATCTCTTTTCATTCTCTGAACTAATCGCATAGCTGTCATAGACACTTCATGTGTTTTGTCACCCAATTCTAATTTATGTGCAAATCTTGGAATGTATAAACATGGATCTGAAAAATAGTATAAAAGATATTCAATATGCAAATGAAGGGGGAAAAACCAGAGATATTCCAGTTGAAGTCCCAAAATATTATTAAACTTACTACAATGGTATATTTTATGTAACACAGTGACTTATGGGAGGAAATCAGGTAAATGGTACTGCACAGAGCCCCATATTTGTTTTTTTTCAAGTACCCTTGTCATGAAATAGCAAAAGGTATAGAACATCTAGATCAGTCGACTCAGTACACAAACATTGATTTGCACGCCTATGTTGTTTTTATAATTCCTCCCTTTCCAGATACTGGTTATCAGATTAGGTTTTTTTTAGAACTTCTGAATTCTCACAGCCCAATAGCCAGATAAAATTTCTGGATTACATCTTAAAATATTCTGATACATATTTATACAATGTACAAAGATCTCCAATGCATGTTTTTTTTTTGTAAATTTCGAATGTTTTACATCTGGGAAGTGAACCTGATCTACACTTCTTCCTTGCGATGTTGACATATGCACTCCAAAATGTTTAATGTTTTCGTATCTACCTTTTTCAATTTCAAGCTGATGATCCTTAATTCTATGTTTTGTATGTTTTGTTTGTACTTGTCCAATATGTTTTGAATAGATGAAATATATGAAGTCAATATTTTTGGTTATTATTAATTTTTTTTACATCATCAAATCACAGGCATTTGTGAACAGGATAGCTTTTGGGAGCCCCTCAGTGGAAACATGCCCAAAATTACCCCCCCCCCCCCCCCCCCCCCCCTTTGAATGATCTTCAAAGTGGTCCCTATATGAAGAAAGTGGGATATGTTGTAAATAAAAGATAATAATCAAAGAACATGATATCTGGGTTTTATTTGCCTGTTAGATCGTAATCTGTGAGAATTTTATAGACAAAATAAGAAGGACAATCCAAAAAGAAATATTCCGCGAAAAAATTGTCTCCCTTTGTTTGTTTATTCGGTGCTCTCGGATGTTTCCTTTCAAAAACGATAATTCTGAAAACGTCAATAACACCGCAAAGCACCACGGGAGTTTTCTACTTTGACAACTGACTTTATTTAGACAATCTCATTAACATGATCAACAACGCATCATCTTGTGGTTTCAAACCCAAAACTAAATAAGGTAATCAACGCAAAATCTTGAATAAAAGCTACGCGTGTATATTCTGGGCATAACAAGGCAAAAAAACGGATACAGGAAGACAGGTGCGCGACACACAAATAAATTAAAGATAACAAAGCCTTGTTATTAAGTAGGGCATACCATCATTGTACACAATATATCTTTAAGTAATTTAGACATAGTACTGATCGAAAAATCATGATAATTTATCTGGGAACATAATCCATAACACTACCAAATTCATTTACAGGGCAGAACCTACATTTAAAAAGGGGGAGGGCAGGATAAATGTAGTTATCCCAGGCTAGGCCACGAATTAAAGCATATGAAGTACAAAGGCATTGGTGTCAAGTCATGAAAAAAATATATGTATAAAACAAATACAATATACACAGTTCTACAAAACATTTATTTCTTCTTTTTGTTGCTAATTAAACAGTACTGGAGTCCCCCCATGGTTTGTGAGGAAGCAAGTTAACTCGTACCATTGTAAACTCGTACCAAAAAAGTTAACTCGTTCCAACGTAAACTCGTACCACTGCAAACTCGTACCATTAAAAATATATTCAAAAATACGAATGTTTTATGACTTTTTTTTGTAAACTAAATAAAAAAAGTTGAATTACTTGAATTTTATACTAGATTTTAATGAAAACTTAGACAAAATTACGAATGTTTTATGATTATTTCTTTTTAAAGCTTTATACAAAAAATTAAAATATCTTTGAACTTTATACCAGATTTTAATGAAAACTTAGACAAAAATACGAATGTAATTTCTTAATTATGTCACCAAGAGTCAGTGCACGTCGAGTTTAAGGGGGACTATCGAACATGCACAACCCAAGGGACAGGAGGTCAGTCTTTTGCAAGACTTGAGCGATGGCAGGCAAAACTATAAACCTTTAAAACACAATAAATAAATTCTTTCATTAAATAAAATTCATTTTAGAAACAATAGAAAAATACCCAAATCTATTCAATGTTACTGATTTGGAATGATTAAAAATTAAATCAAATAGTTGTCAGTAAAAGTTTAAAAAAGAGTCTATTCAAAGGAGACAACAAAGCCAATCTGCCACGGTATTGAGTGAAATTAAAGTATATATTCATCATTAAACACCATTTGAATGCATTTAAATAAGTTGGTACGAGTTTACAATGGTATGAATTTACTGTGGTACGAGTTAGCAGTGGTACCAGTTTGCATTGGTACGAGTTTTTTTTTAGTGGTACGAGTTGACATTGGTACGAGTTTACAATGGTACGAGATAACTATAATTCGTTTGTGACGTGATTCATGTTGCTCAATCTTTGGTTTTAATGCAGTGTTATTTACACTGTTATTTATGCAGATTTGTCCGGTAAATATGAATGACCTGCCAACTTCCAAATTCTTGAAATAAGGATGGTTTAGGTTACTCAGAGACTATGGTCGCCAAGAGCGAAATTGGAACTAGAACTGTATGACACCCTAATGAAACAAAATTCAACTGAATGTCAGTAGCTCTGACATACTCAATATAATCATGATAATGATGTATGCTTGTTGAAGAAACAGTAGACTATATACTTACAGAATTGGCAAATATAAAGAAAAAGCCTGACCGCCATGAAATCATTTTTTGGGATATTGCTTTTACTTCTAACACTGAAAAATATACTGTATTTAAGCATAGTCCTGCTTTCCTAAAACATTCTTGTGGTGTCTTTTCCATGGGTCTGTTAGGAATGTGCTGGTTTAGGAAAAGGTGGTTGGTTTGTAAGTTGAATTGTGCTTTGTGCTGGAAGTCACTGACTTAAATCATAGTACTCTTGTTTATTTTTGTGCTTAGTAATCATGGTAATGGTAACAATCTAATGAGTTGAGCCCTTTCCAGATGACTTTAACAGCAGTCTTCCCAATAAACTTTTAAATCTACAGGCCTGAAGCTGAATTTTACAAAATTTAAGTTACATGTAGATTCTATTGGCTTGTAGAGATGATTTTTACAGGCCTAGGCTCGACAGCATTTTTACAAGCCTGGGCTGGTGGGCCTGTGGTTGAGCGTGAAGACTGTTTCTTATGTAGAGCTATTTGACACCATCACACTCTCCATATGCCTGTCCCAAACTAGGAACCTGTAGTCTAGTTTCTGTCTACCATAATGGTTCTTCGTTTAGGTTTAGTATAAAATAAATCCAGCAGTTGGCTTTCTCTTTTGAACTGTTTCACATTTTTTCATCATTCATTACAGGGCATTTTATAGGTAACTATATGGCATGAGTATTGTGCATTGTTGAAGACTGTGCAATGGCCCATTGTTATTGGTGTCCTCATCTTTTGGTCTTTGGTGGATAGTTGTCTAAAAGTCATTGGCAATCATACCGCATCTCCTTACTTTTATATATTTATCATGTGTTTATTCTATAATAACCTTAATTTTATTTATTTATTAATAATAACTTAATTGTCCTTAAACAGATTTTGCTTTACTAAATAAGATTAATTTTATTGCAGATGGATAGACCACTAAAAACTGAACCAAAAAGCTGCATGCAAATCAGTTCAAACAGACAGTTTTCTGATGATGAAGTAAATCAAGAAGTTCCTCCAAATTACACAGCTAAAGTAACTGTACAAAATCCAAGAAGAAAAACAGAACCTTCATGGAAAATAGCCAGACCTCAACCCCAGTGTTTACCAACTTCTAAAGCAAGTGAGGAATTTAACTGGCAAGCTAATCAATCAAGTGTGAGGGAAAGAAATGCTGTGATGTTTAACAATCCACTCATGGCTGATGTCTTCTTTAAAGTTGGAACTGTCCCTCATCAACAGAAAATTCCAGCACACAAGTACATTTTAGCTACAGGCAGCTCAGTGTTCTATGCTATGTTTTTTGGTGGACTTGCTGATGCAAAGCACGTAATTGAAATTCCAGATGTTGAACCTCAAGCTTTCCTTAATCTACTCAGGTACAATCACTAATACACCAGCTTAAAGATGATTAGTTCCTGACTTCCATGAAGAATATAATTTCATTTATATTATAGTCTTGTTTGAAGAAAAAAATGTAATTCATGTATATGAAACAAATGTCAACAATCAAAGTTTCACATTTTAAAAAAGTTTTGAGGGTCATTTCGCAATGGGAGTGCAGAACTTAACAAACTTACATGTATCTAACTTCCTGTAGCTAAACATTGTCCTACACATTTCATACTGCTTAACCATTATGACCATTGATTTAAAATTAAAACCACTTTTATATTATTTTTGGACCTAAATTACATTTGTACATTACCTTGAACATGTTGAAGTGATATATATTTTATTAATTACATTACTTGACGTGATATATTTTATTAACCTATTCCATGCACATTAGTTATACTACTGGGTAGTTCAAAACAGGCAAAACTTAACAAAGCTAAATTCAAAGAAATTCTTTTGCACATATAAAAATAAGATGATGTGGTATGATTGTCAATGAGACAACTCTTCACCAGAGACAAAATTACATAGAAGTTAACAACTATAGGTCACCGTACGGCTTCAACTATGAGCAAAATCTATACCGCATAGTTGGCTATAAAAGGGTCCAAAATGACAAATGTAAAACAACTCAAACAAGAAAACTAAACGGCCTGAAATATGTACAAAACAATGAACGAAAAACAAATATGATATACAGCAAAAAAACGAATTATAGGCTCCTGACTTGGGACAAGCACATATAGATTGTCGCAGGTTTACAGGGGCATACGTTTATGTCAAGTTACTTGTCATAATCAACAGGTTGCAATAGTGGAGCAGGAACTGCTTACCGGTATATAATAAGCCTCCTTGAGATATTAGTTTAAGCCGAGTTTTGGTACATGTTCATGTAGG